ATGTAATGATCACTGGAAAACATTCCATGTGGGGAATTTTTCATTAATTGAAACGTTAACGGGTTCATATACACTTCCATAATCAAATTGATAATTATAGGCTTCGTAAATTTTACGATTTGGCAATGTTGATTATTTCTATTGTTCCTATTGGTCAATCGAACAAGAAGCGGGAATAAGGGCGTGACGTCACCACCCTATCACATTCGATTTTTAATAATTAATTACAGGAAGACTACGGTACTTAGAGAGATGAAACAAAGTGCACTGTTTTTCAATTTAAAATTTCTATCAAGTGAACTATAAACAAAATCATGAAACAAGCCCATTGATTGGTCAGAATTAGAGTACTTTGAAAATGTAATTGATCAAGTGGATTATTTTCATAAATAAATTTATCATATCTTTGACATCTGTCTCGAAATTCAAGCACGATATCACAAACAAGAAATTCTACCCTCCTTGGTTTGCAGAGGGAACATTTTAAATGAAGGAAAAATGAATCACTGGAAAATATGAGCTGAAAGAAATAAATGCCCCGTAATAATTAATTCGATGTATTGAGAAGTTCGTCATTGATTTACCTGAGATGAATTGTGAGTTAAAAAAAACTGGGCACTATATGGCGATGGATCTTCATACAAATAAAGAATATTGTATAAAACATTTCTAATCTAGGGATATTTACCTTCACACACATATCGGCTATTATTTAACATATACAAGCTTTTATTTGACTTGTTAAGTTTGTACAAGGTTAAATCTTGCAATTGAATTTTAAAGTTCATTAACCGATTGAGCTGAAATTTTGCACATACTTTTTATTTTGATAATGTATGGAGCTAAGTGACGTCATTCTACATCCAATATGGTGGACTGCCCAAGATAGCGGACTAGTTATTTTCATGCACTCCCACGATATGGGTACCATAGCTGGACGGCATAGCTCCTATCATAGTATTGACACGAGAAATTGTAATAATGTTTATGTTAAACCATGTAAATACAACGTAACTGCCAAGTCTCCTTTTTATTTATTATTCTCTTAGAGATATTGATAGAATCCATGTTTTCAAATGCAATTTGAAAAAGTTCTTACTGAATCATAGTTTCTATACTGTGCAAGAATTTTTTAATGTATTTTTTGTATTCACATACCTGACTATTCCAATACATGTTTATGTGTTACGGAAAATAAATGTTAACGTGCCGAGGTGTAAAAATAACGATTTGGTGTTGGGAAAAAACTCCAGTAATATTCATTACTACACCAAAGGTTCCAAACAGTATATCACAAATAAAAGCTTGTTTATACATTTTATTATTTGTTTAGCTGTAAATACTGTCTTTCTGAATATTTATTTATTTGTAATACAATACTCTACAGGACATAGCCAATTACAGAGTAGGAAATAACAGAGTATAATAAATACATCACAAACAAGTGACTATAAAGACTACACATTTTATATTTATTATAGGTGACAAAACAATTATTTTAGAAAGTGGGATTTTATATTTGACAATTTGCAACTAAATATATCTGAATTATCGCTAACAGAATTTGTCACTTTACACATGGTATGGATCGGAGAATTNTTGTTTGAAAAGATTGGCAAAACCGTTTACGATATTAGAGGGCCCCTCCAGCAATTGACCTTCAAAATTCAGTACTTGTGATATTTTGGAGCTACCTCGTTTATTATTTATAAATGACCAAATTCTGTTGGGATTGATATGTATTTCTTGCTCAGTTTCACCTAAGAATTTTTTATTTGCCACATCAACATCATGCTTTATTTTTCCTCGAAGATTACACTCACGCTTGTATTTGCGCCAGATTCTGCTTTTAGCCTGCAAATCTCTAATAATGCTTCTATTATACCAAGCAGGATGTTTATTTTTGGATTCAACTGTATACTTGGGACAGCAGCAATCAAAAACATTATAAAGTTTTCCATAGAAATATGTGGATGCATCTTCTGAGTCATCAAGAACTTCCAAGAAGGTCCAGTCAATATGAGATATTTGATCATACAGTTGTGGATAGTTGGCTCTTTTGAAATTATAGTTTTTTCTGGAAACAGGAATGCAGTTTGGACTTTTACCTTATCATTTCAAATACACTATACATGAAAATCAAATAAGCTATAGAAAATGTTTCATTCTCATTGTTTGACGAAGAGGATATAATACATACATTTTTTCGAATTAACACATTTTTTTTCTACTTCTATTATTGTTTTCAACTAAATTACCATTATATAATCGAATTTTGTCAATTTAGAAATTCAGAAAAAACTTATAAGTACGTATGATTACATTGCATGAACATATTTGAATTGATAAGTTAACTAATATTATTTAGTGTATGCCATAAAATGTCATAAAATATTCTTGAATATATTTTGTGTAAGTCACTCTGTGTTACCATATTTTTTTATTTCAGTTTTTAATCGGATTTCTGAGTTTTCTCTACCCAGGAATTTCAATCAACCTCAGAAAAGCCCTAATGCCTGTTCATACTTCTTTTGGAATAGGATGCTTCATCCTGGCCATTGTAACAACATTAACTGGGGTAACTGAAAAAGTGTTATGGACACTGTCAACTGACTATCAGAAGTATCCTTCAGAAGGTATCTTAATCAACTTGATCGGTGTATTTACTGTATTCTACGGTGTAATGGTTTTGTATATGGTGAATGAAATGGATTATAAACGAGTTGCAACTGTAGAGGATGACATTCCCCTTTCTGAATAATATATTTAATTTATCTTGTATGCAATATCATCCGCATAAAAGTCACTCATTTTATTTACTCCTATACTGATGCAGTATCAGAATCATAGACTAACTGATGACTTGATGCTGATATATGTATTAGAACTTGTTTCAATTTGCTCATGTTAGTTGAAAAAATCAACCCACAATTTTATTCTATTTTTGATTGTTATTTTTACAAAACTATTGCCTAAGTTTGATAAGTGATATTAAGTTATTGAAAAAATACATTTCAGAAGATATCTGACTGTAAAAATGTGTCTTGCTGAAACTATTCCAAAAAAATAATGGTGCTTCAGGTGTAATATTTGTGGTGCTCAATATATATCGATGGTGCTTACAGAAAATGATATCCATTATATAATATTTGTGTATATAAGTAAATGTATTGAACTGAATGTGTTTCAAAATATACTATGTACATTATCGAATCTTGTTAAACCTTTTCATTATTCTTGATATATATTTTATGTACATTCTATTTTTACATATAGTAAAGATATATTTATTTTTATTCTATCTGCCGACATTTTATATTTTATGGTGTCTTGTCTTGTGATATAAATATACAAATAAAATAAGATATTTGTGTTATTACAAATCTTACCTAAGATAACATTACAAGATTGTCTATGTTGCAAAAATATAATTTGCTGACATTTTATATTGCATGAGAAGGTGGTATCTGTCTTGGGATATCTATATTAAAATTAAAACAGCCGCCATATCTGCTTCATTTCGAGGTTGGAGGTAAGTTTAGAATATTTATTGAAAAATAGAACTGAAACCTCTGGTATAGGTTGAACCTCAAACTACCACTTCTCCCATACACCAAAATTTCAATAATATTGTCGACTTGCTTTGCACATCAGGCATCATCAGGAGGTGAGGCTCACTAATTCCTTAAATTCAACTGCCTTTATCTAATTAGATGAACCCCCATCTTCACTTTCATTCAGCGTGAAATTTCTCGTGAAAGTTATTATTTTCATTAGGAGGGAGTGGTTTATAAAAGAGTGAACATTGAGCTGTTTGGAATGGGACTTTTGGCACCGTTCATTGTTCTCGTGTCATACTTTGCTATATGTCGATTTTGTAAGCATTGAAAAATCCAGTGTCGTACAGCTGTTTCAACAAATTTAGTCAATGTTCATTCATTCTATGACTTGTCCAAACTATGTTGAACTACAAGCATATCTTATACTAAATTAAAGTCCATAATATAGTGTTTCTCGAATGGGATTTTAGTGATTTTCACTAACTACTTAGTAATTGATTCAGTTCCAGTTCTTTAAAACAAGCTCATTAAAAATCGAGACGTAATTAATATAGGTACCTGTCTTCTCCTTTCAATCTCAACTCTAAAGTATATGGTTTGCAAATGTTGAATATTCTTTCCATATGAATACAATTTATGTCCTTTCTGTTTGATTAATATACACCATGGGTTAAGAAACATATACACACTGAGGCCTTGTCTTTATTGTTTTTAATGAATTCACAAATTATTTTATTCCTACTGAGATATCTTTTTTTTTTACAGAAACCATTGATATTTGCCAAAACAACACGCCTGTTGCATCACTTGTTTATAAAACAACAGGCCTGTTGCATCACTTGTTCATGACATTTTTTAGAAATATAGAACTGAAATTTATATGCATCGTAACAGTTGATGATAAAATTCAATTTTCTTCGAAAATTACTCTTTGAATAAAAGTGTAATATCTGATAGCCTGTAAAGCATATGATATTATAGGCTGATAAGAATGTGTCGAGGAATTATATGTATGTTAGTTGATCAAAAAATATTTCTCTCGTTTCTATCTCCATGGTGACTTCAATTGAAGGGAGAATGTAATTAATAAAATCAACTGCCTCCTCGTAATAGAGTAAAAACCAGTCAATGTCACCCATCTATACCATTATAGAAATCATTAACAGAATACAGTGGGTTTTTTTAGGCAACAAAATACCTTCACAGGTTATCTTGGCCTTATAGAAACGCTTGGAACTTCACGTGACTAAGGATTTTGTTAGTTTTTTTTGATGAAAACTTTCATCAGTGAAGAACTCCGAGATTACTATTATTAGACATTCACTACAATAATTCAAATTAGGAATTTTCAGTTTTACTAACGAGTTAATATTGTTTCAGCCTAACACATATTCTCGGTCAGTCCGATTATTTCAATACTGGAAAATAGATTTTGAATTTAAAATATATTATTTCACTTTCATGGTGTTTGCTATGTTAATAACATTAATGATAAAGGTTTGCGGTAATCATACAGAATTTTTTAAATTTTGAGAATAGAGCCATTAAGAACCACTCTACAGGTAATACTGGACAAATGGACAACTTATAACTTATTGAATACACATTTCGCACACCAGAACGAAATACGCGCGTTTCATTACCTTAATTAGCATCATCAGGTGATGACTCTAACCAAATTTTTGCAACTCCCTCGATGTTTTCATATACACCTGGATGGACCATCACCTTACCTGAATTAAGATAATTCCTAACATAACTTATTGTGTTATATTATTGTTCCCAGTGTTGTTCCCTGTAATCAGTATATACCAGAATAAACAACGGGTTGTTTGGAATTGGATCTTTGTCGCTGTTCATAGATCTCATTCCACATTTTTTTATTTCTAAACTTTTCAAGGCATCTAAAAACTTTTTTTTATGTGTCGGCCTCAACAATTTCAAGCATTCCTCACTTATTCTGTGGCGTTCTCTAAGGCATGTTGAGCGACAATAGTCTTCTCTATTCTGTGAAAGCGCAATGTGAAACACGACACTCCTTGTAGTGAGCTATTATAGTTCGCATACTTTTTTCGCAATCCCCACTCCTTATTTCGTAAATCCCAGACTTTTCTATCGTTATATTAGAATTTTTGAAAATTTGGACCAATCCGTTGGGGTATTTTGGTTCATATGGGAATTTTATAAATTTTGAATCTTTGTCTTTTTGAAAAGTCGGGAATTTACGAAGACACTGTCTAAATTTTGATTTCCTAATTAACTTATCCACTTTGTTTGAAGGATACCAGTTATCCTCAGCTATTTCAATGATATCATACCGGATTACTGCTATTATAGAACTGATAATTCAATTTGGATTCATCCTTATAATGAAATAAAAAACTCACTTCCTAAGCCACCTCAAACCTATTTTTTGCAGTCCAGCCAGACACGTCCAAAACGATCTCGTTGTGTCCAATTTATTTCTGTTTTTATGCTGTTAGTGGTTAGTTCTTATGCTTTTTATGATTCTACGATTTTTAATGATTCTATTATCTTTATGATTTTGATGCTTTTGATGATTTTGCCTAGCAGAACTATAATACAAAAAAACTGTTGTAAAAAGAATCCTATGACTCTACGATTAGTTGAAATTATCAATTGCAAAATGTGATTTTATATAATCCACTTTTAAATTCAAATCTATAAATATCTTGAAAGTTGGAAGTATGTGAAATTTTATTTAAATCACCAGGACGTGTTCTCTTTACGAAGCCAGGCACAGAAAAGACCCTTTCAAAACTTCTTCAAACATAGAATCGGTATCGGTTCAAAGTTCAAGCAATTCTCTCACCTGTTACACTAGACATATATACCTAAAACCCATCGATTCTAAGTATGACATTACTAAAAGCAGATATCCCTCTCTGTACCTCACTTCTCAATCTTCGTTACACTATAGTATGAAAATGAAGTGTATGGCTAAACAAAAGAAGGAGAGAACTACTTGTTTTTTAGCATTCTACTGTGATCTGACCATAAAATGAATAAAAATATTCAAAATAAACAATATGGACTTTGAATAGGTGTTAGCATTCGGATAAGTTTGGAGTACTTTTAAGTATAGACTGCTCAGAAGAATCCCAGATCTGTGAAAATATGAAATAGAAATTAAAAAATTGGTATGTTATAATCTGGAATTAGATTGTGTCGTAAACAATGTAAAATAAAAAGTGGAAAAATGAAGTGCTACAAACAATACAATCTAAAAAGAGTATTGTATTGTGTAAGTTATAAGAAAAGAAAGTACATCAATGCATTAGATAAAATGCAGTGGCGAATATTTTTGAGATATGAATGATTGATATCACAGGAAATTGTATTGAAATTTTTACAACAAATCGTGACAGGTAATATTTGTTCTTACAGAATCTAAGTAGAATGCCATGTATATCATATCTAGTGTTATGACAAGGATCATAGAAAGGTATTTTTGATAAGATGTTCAATCGATATTGTTATGCAACAGATTATATATGTCATTGTTGAAATGACTCGACTACTAAGTACTTCAACAAACGAACTTCGATTCTTCGGGTAATTGACTAGGTATAAGAAATTCCTCTCTCAGAATGTATATACCAAACAGTTTGAAATAAATGAATTTGACAAGTTTTCTCTGAATTCTTTCAATGGATGCTGAATAAGTCGCATGTAAAGGATACCACAGAAGTATGTCTCATTCTATTTTTGAGCAAACATATGCCTTAAAAAGTAACTTTATTACATCCATGTTCTCAGGATCCTTGCTATTTTTCATTATGAAACCGGTGAGCATTCTGTTAGCTGACGATACAGTTTTGTCCCACATGATTTGCAAATATAAGTTTCCGATCAAATGTAACCACGAGGTTTTTAATGTTTTGGCATCTGCTAAGTTAGGTTGATTCTATTTTATAGTCAAATATCAACGAACTAAATTTTCGTGTGAAAGTTGATACACAGCATTTTTTGATATCGCGCTTCAAATTATTGCTGCGGCACCATTATGAGATCATTTACAAAAAATAGAAATAACGAAGGCCCCAGGTTTGATCCTTGGGGAACTCCAGATGTAGGTCTGATAATAATGAAGGAAAATTATCCTTTATGTTCAACATACTGCTTGCGATCAAATACGACTTGAACATCACTGATTTTTAACAGAAACCAGTAGTACTCGACTTCTTCAAAATAATAAACATATAAATTTGATCAAACGCTTTTTGAATATCATCAACCTAACCCCTTTCTCAAAATACTTCGCAAACATACTGGGATAGACAAGAAAAGTTTGTTTTACGAGGTTTCCTATCTAAAAAACCATGGTGTTCCTGTTATGTTTTTAGTTGAATTATAAATGAAGCCATATGAAATAATCTCAAATAGTTTTGAGAAATTGCACAAAATTTAGATACCTCGATGATTGTGTATAATCCTCGTATCGGAAAATGTACTGTTTGCGTGAATAAGGTCAAATATATGTTTTAAATGTTGAAGTAAAACAGAAAAGCAATCCTTTATCAAAAAGCTAGGCTCTACAATCAGTTCATTTTTGGTTTTCTTGGAAGCTTTGATAATATTCAATATTTAAAAAGTTTCTTTTCCAACACTATTTATAACATCGAGAAGTATATTGACGAGGCATAGTCATCCTTAGTTTATTGATTTTATAATTATACTTTTAGTTGAACTACACTCTTTACTTTTATATTTTTTTAGCAGATGATTTTATCTTTGTAACTCCAAACAAGGATTTCTGTATTCGTGACTTGCCATAAATGTAACCTACTCTATTTTCCTTGGAGATTTCTATCAAGTCGATAAAAGACACATTGCTATATTTAACCTCAGAAGCAAATTATTTACTGAAAGCATCAATAATACACTGGGGCTTTGAATAAGTTATCTCTCCATCTTTCATTTCACACGGTACCCAACTGTTACTTTTTTTATTTCTGATAAAATTCCAGAATTGGGAGGGGTCGTGAGAAATATTATTTTCAGCCTCATTAACAATTTTTTTTCGATCATTCTTGATAGCGTTTTTTACTGAAATAGAAATGTGTGTCGAAAGATTTACAGTTTTTAAATGCTCGTTCCTAATAATCCACATTAGATTACTACAGAACCGTCACAGAGGTTGATTACTTATTTCCCCCAATAAATAATTTCTTACCAAATCGTGACCTTTTTATCTAGTGTCACTGAGGATAGCTTATTTTGTTTATAGTGATTTCAGAAGCAGGCTGTGAACATGCATACTACTTTGCTGAAGAGAACTGTTATTCGTTTAGGAAACAGGAGTTTTTCTAACGAATCTAAGGCGGAAGTAACTGCTCTTTATGATTTTCACTTGAAGAATGGCGGGAAAATGGTTAATTTTGGAGGTTTCCTACTTCCTCTTCTATACGATTTGAGTATTGTTAATTCCCACTTATTCACAAGAAAAAGTGCATCACTTTTTGATGTTTCTCATATGTTACAAACGGAAATCAGAGGTGAGTTCGGAAAAGAAAATTTAAGTAACTGGTAATGAGATTTAATTTTGCAGGCACTAAATGCATAGATTATTTTGAATCAATATGTACGGCAGATATTCAAGGATTGAAAAATAATTCAGCCAGTCTCACAGTATTTACCAATGAAAACGGGGGAATTTTAGATGATCTTATTGTATCCAAAATTTCAGACGATCATTTATTCGTGGTATCAAATGCTGCTCGAAAAGAAGATGATCAAAGACATATGTTGAGAGCATGGGTAATAGTTTATTAAAATGAACTCATCTTTAGATGAGTTACAAAGTCAACTGTTTTTAGGAAAACTTCAAGAAGAGTCATCCATCTGCAGACATACACATTAAATTTTTCAATCCTCACGAACGAAGCTTACTTGCTCTTCAGGGTCCTAAGGCAGCCGGGGTTCTGAAAGACATCACAGACGTTGACCTTTCACAATTATATTTTATGAATACAGTTACTGGTGTTATTGCAGACGTCAAAGATTGTAGAGTCACTAGGTACTATTACAAGACCATTACCATTTTTTGTTATCCACGCAGAGCAATTAGCACACGTTATGTGATACGAAATCAATATCAGAACTGAAATCTGACCAAGCCACATATAAGTCACTCAAATAGTAATAGTCTCTAACGGAATACTTTTAAAATCTTTGATAGAGGATGACATCAAATCGCAATTTTTCTAGTGAGCTAGTGTTCGTTGAAAGTATTATTAAATTAATAGAACAAGGACCTCAAGTCTTCATCGCGTTCGTTATTCCTAGCGGTAGGTATGGTTCAGTGTCTCTACGAGAGGCAGACGTATTTATTTGACTGGCAGGGTAGGTTTTGTAACAGTATTTATAAATCGAATGAAAATTTCAGATTTCATTGAATTTTTGGACCGAGTTTGTTATGAGAAAGACATTAAACATGTAGTTTTATCATTTTCAAAACTAAATACTAGCATCAGTTGAAAGTCTTCTTTATATATGAAATTTTTGTGTTGCTGATGTTGCTACTTTTCCGTCTCTAATACGAGTACCATACATATCCTTTTTATGGATCCAAAATAACACTCGAAAAATGCAGCAAGTAAACAATTATGAAACAGAAATATGACCTTTGTTACTACAAGTTTGAGAAGTAATATATGATTTCAGATGTGGATACACTGGCGAGGACGGATTTGAAATTTCAATTCCTGCATCAGACACACTTAAAGTAGCAGAAACGTTGTTGCAAAATGAAAATATAAAACTTGCAGGACTAGGAGCAAGAGATTCTTTAAGGTGAATGCCTAGTTTGAAAAGTTTAATTTTTTTGATTTTTTTTTATCATCTAGATTGGAAGCTGGGCTTTGTCTGTATGGTAATGACATCAAAAGTTCAACAACTCCTGTAGAAGGGGCTTTAACCTGGTTGGTTGCTAAAAGAAGGAGGGAATTGGGGAATTTTCCTGGAGCAGAAGTCATCCTTAAACAAATCAAAGAAGGATCATCGGTTAAAAGGATAGGTAAAAGTTCAATTTTTTTCTAAAATATTGACAATTTTCGGAAACTACAATTTCATTAATACCAGAAGTACTGGTATTGTCGAAGAACTTAAAAAAATCTACAATGCATGAACATCTACAAGAATCAAAATACGAGATAAGTAAAAATAATCTCAAAATCCTACACATATGTAATAAAGGGAAGAAAATGAATTTGTTGGAAGTCATGGAAATCATTAAATCAATCAAAAACCTGAAATATATACCTACCCCTAAACGAGTAACTCGATTTATGTAGGTCTCCACTCTTGAATTTATAAGTTTGATAACCCCTATATTCTTGAGTGTTAATTTTATACTTGGTACCCTTGTTCATTTAACTACCTCGCTTTCTAGCTTACCTAAACATTCCTTATATATACATTTTTTTTTCACCGTAGTGTGCGCTGGTCAGGCCCTATTCCCGAAGCCCCGATACATTCGGGAGGGCGCACCAGCATTATCAACCAATGACCACTCCCCACACCGTGGGGTAAGTGATCATTGGGTATGAGAATCATGTGCCCTGAGTAAGCGCAGTGAGCCAAGAATGACACCCTTCTGCATCTGTGCGGCTAAGATTTCTGCCTTAGTGCGGCAAGTCGGTATGATTTTAAGATTCGAGAGTAGAGAGGACATCATTCCACCAAGGACTCCAATAATCAGAACAAACATCTTAACAGAGTGATCTGGATAGAGTGCGGAGTTCGAAGAGAAAATCTCGATATTTTATCTGTTTTTCCTTCTCTTTTCTGACGATATTCGTCTCGCCAGGAGCTGAAAACTCCACGACAAATATCGTTTTGCTCTGGTGGTCGAGAAGGCCACATCAGGCTTATTAGCTTGTATGAGCCTGAGACTGGGGAACGAATAGTTCCAATAAATTCGGCACTTCTTATTCCCCACAACGAATTCAATATCCCCCGGAGCGTAGGGCAACACCGGTGTCTCGTCAATACCCTAAGAGTGCCGTAGATGGTAAAATAGTACTCTTAGGGCCGCGTTATGTCGATGGATATAGGCCGAGACCGCATATGCTGGACATGCTGATAGTAAGTGCATTAGGGTCTCGGACGCCTCGCGGCAGGCCCTGCACCTTGTGTCAGGGACCTCTATACCCATCACGCGACTGCGGTAGACTAAGGTGTTGAAGATACCATCCTGGCAAGCCATGATGAACCCCTCAGTTTCCGACTTCAGCCCACTCGACCTGAGAAAAGCGAACGTCAGGCGCTTTGATAAGCCAAGGTCTCCAATGTTATTGAAGAAGACTCCATGCATTGGCTTATCCTTGTGTTTCCGCAGAAGTAAGGTGATCTCTGTGGCTTTTAACTGAGCTTCTTGCTGAACGGGTTCCAACTCGGTGAAAGAGTTGTTCATCAGCTGCTCGGGCAGCTGATGAACTCGGAACTTGGAAAAAAGTTTTCATTTCTGACTTAGAAAAATATTTTTATTCCAGGTTTGACTTACCAGACAGGTCCACCAGCAAGACAAGGTGCTCGAATTTTATCTGAAAATGGCCTGGAATTGGGTGAAGTTACTTCAGGGTGTCCCTCACCCAGCCTCGGTAAAAATATAGCAATGGGTTATGTTCCATCTGATAACAGCAAAGTCGGCACTAAAGTTCATTTGAAAATAAGAAATAAACTTTATGAAGCCGTTATAAGTAAAATGCCCTTTGTGAAAGCAAATTATTTCAATAAACCCAAATAAATTTTCGTTCATAATCATTTATTAAATTGAATAAAGCGTCTACAATAATATATAATCTATTTTCAATTCAAGTCCAGGTTCATGCACTTTCCTAGTTCCTTTGAATATTCACAACCATCTTCAATATCTGAAAAATAGTGTATTTGTTATTATTTGTTTGAAGTACGAATATTTGGAGTTAGGTTCTGCTATTATATGTATACTATCGGCCACCCCGGCTTCGCATGGGTGCAATTCATTCACCGGAAATTTAAGGGCATGTAGAAACAGTGATGAAAAGATAATTTCCTTTAATGAACTTGCCTTTTCCCTTTCTTATTACACATCTGCAATATAAAACAAACCTACATACAAAATTTCAGTCTCCGAAAATATACCGGTATGGAGAAACAGTGATGAAAAGTTAACTTTGTTTTATGAATGCGCCTTTTTCTTCCGCGGCTGGCGCCTCAATTGAAATATTCAAAAATCTTTCTAATTGCACATCTCAAACATAAAATGTACCTATATACAAAAAATTCAGATTCTGAAAATATAGCTGTCCGGAGAAACAGTGATGAAAAGGTAATTTTCATATGTAAACACGCCCCTGTTATTTCCAGAGGGGCAGCCTCAGTTGGAATATTAAAAAATCTATTCTTATTGCACATCTACAACATAAAACGAACCTACATACAAAATTTCAGCCTCCGAAAATATAGCGGTACGGAGAAACAGGTAATGTTATTTTATGAATGCGCCTTTTTCTTCCGCGGCTGGCGCCTCAATTGAAATATTCAAAAATCTTTCTAATTGCACATCTCAAACATAAAATGTACCTATATACAAAAAATTCAGATTCTGAAAATATAGCTGTCCGGAGAAACAGTGATGAAAAGGTAATTTTCATATGTAAACACGCCCCAGTTATTTCCAGAGGGGCAGCCTCAGTTGGAATAATAAAAAATCTATTCTTATTGCACATCTACAACATAAAACGAACCTACATACAAACTTTCAGCCTCCGAAAATATAGCGGTACGGAGAAACAGTAATGAAAAGGTAATTTTCATATGTAAACGCGCCCCTTTTACCCCCACGGAAGGCGCCCCAGTTGGAATATTTGAAAATCCGTTCTTAGTGCACATCTAGACCTAAGAAGCACGCTACTTACCAAATTCTAGCTTCCTACGACTTATTAGTACAGAGAAACAGTGACTTTCGCATTTATAAGTATATACAGTAAGTATAAGTATATTCAAATTCGTTTTTGTACATGGGGATCTCGTAAACGATAAGAAACGCTGGCAGAGAGATAGAAAATGTGAAAGACTCGAGATTGAGGACTTTGAATGATTTCGCAACAATGCAGCAAATAAGTGTATTAAGGGCAATAAATAATATGAAAAACCGAGTTCAAAAATGTCTCGGAATGGATGGACTCCAATTCGAACATTTATTGCGCCATTCATTTTTTTTTGTAGATATATAAATTAATTCGTTACGATTATATTGTTCATTTTGGATGTTATTATTGCTATCATTTCTTTTTCTGAATATTAAAACACATTTAATATATTTTTGATGTAGATATGTTTCAGAATTTTCAGATAATTATAAAAAGGTTTCTTATTCGAAGTTCATTGTAGAAAACGTTCAGAGCAACAGAAAAAATATGAATAGGTACCTAAAAATGAGAAAAAAACTCTCGAAAAACTCTACGGTACATAGGGAGACGTGAAAGTTGCTATTGTGTTTTTATTCAACTCAGTCAACCAATTTTCAGGGCCGTAATTTAAAAGGGAATAATTCACTCAATTATAATCAAATATTACCGAAATATCCTGAAATATAAAATTGAATTCAATTTCTCAGTATGAAGTGAATGTCGACGAAACAAAAACTACAACAAAAATACAGGTCCGTATTTAATAATTGAAAGATGTGGGTGGCCCAAGTCAGATGACACCCTGTATAAAAGATTCATGGACATATTCTGATAGCCCACATCAAGTGCCAATAGCAAAATGTGGACAGATTTTCAATATGTCTGCGAATAAAGAAGATATAGGCAAAAAAATAATTTGGGATTTTTTTGTTTTTCCTGTATATCTCCAGAACCAAAAGAGCCACATTCAATTTTTTTACATCATTGAATAGGTCTTTAAAATACGCAACTTTGCCCCAATTTAACCGAAATTCTATCTCTTATCGTTTACGAGTTCCCCATGTACAGAAACGAATTTGAATAGCCCTGTATATATGAAGTGTAAGTAACGCTGATATAATTAATATATTTTCAATTTCCTCTTATGACTTCGTTCCCCATTTCATTTTTTTGTCTCAAATTGTCCCAATTCACCTTGAGTGAAAATGAGTCACGATTGGCGAAGGTTATATCGGTGAGAAAGTTATCGAAGCGCTTGAAAAGATTGTTGTCGGTTGGCGAAAGGTATGGGGAATATGGAGGGTGATGCAAGATTTCGGCGCTCAATTGGTTTAATTTTCTGACAGTGAAACGTGGACGAGGGTTGTCGTGGTGCAGTATCGGTGGGGCACCCACTTTTCGAACTTTTTGACGTTTTCAATACGTTTTAAACCAGTAAAAACCGGATGTGAGCTGACGCCCAGTAGTTCCGCCATCTCACGCACCGTTTGTTATTGGTCTCATAAAAACGGATTTTGAAACAACCTTATAAATTTTTGGAAAATAATTTGAGCTGTCCATAAATTGCTTGCTCAATGTGATCCAGATGAAAAATTAAAATGAAATTAGAGGATTTCAGTTCTTTTGGAACTAATCGAAATTTCCTAAATTTTGAGCAAAAGCAAAACCCCGCGAATGCCAGACCACCGTTATTTTATAAAAGCTGAAAGTTTATTGGTGCATTGTCCCGAAATAAGTAGGGAACTATAAGTAACTATGAAATTTGGATCATCGTGACTTTGGCAGATAACAGGTAGCGAAGGTGTGAAAACTCATCACTGGATACCCTTACTTCAAAAAATAGTTACTTTACTTACGTTATACTTTGAAAGTTTTTGAGTAATTTTGAGATGTTTCCTCATTAACCGGACAGTTTCGACAATTCTAACACCTGTCAGATGTGAGAGAGGTAGGTATTTGGATATTATGGCTCATAACTCTTTTCTAATTCGCTACTTGTTTATTTTATAGTTTGATCAACAACGTACCTACCTATCCTAGTAAACAATCTCTACATATAGGATGTAACAATAAAGTACAAAAAAATCAACAATGATAGCCAGTTGGTTAGCGTGTATGTTTGATAACTCAAAAGATGCTAGGTAAACGAAAGATGCGCAGCAAAAGACCTAATTCAATTCGCATCCGCTTAGAATGCATATATGTATATTGCCTCGCGCTTGTATTTAAGCTTGTCTAGTCAGGTGTTACAACTGTCAAAACTGTCCGGAAACTGAGGAAATATACCTAATGATATATTTAGCTTTTATACTGGAACGTGAGTACAGATGCAATTTACTAAAGGTTCAGGGTATCCGCCGAGGGATAGTTTTAACCTTTGCTATCTCTTACCCACACGGACTCTTAGACTATATCTATTCAAGACTGGATTTATTTTGAGGGCTGCACTCGAGTTCCATCCGATACCTGAATTCAGCCCAACATTACTCAACTCTAGAATCTTTAGGCTGAATGGAAATGTCGTCAAAAGCAAAAGATTCACTGAATTCAGTGCCAGCATTTTTTACCGACGGTAAAACTACTCTGATAGCCGAATGTATGGATTTTTCAAAATCTGCACAGATAACTGAAGGTGAAAATGTAACTTTCAATTTATTGCACAGGTCTGTAACTGAACTGAAGACAAATTCATAAAATGATTGTCTTTTATTCGGCAAATGAAAAAATACTAACGGAATATAAATATTGTTTCGCAGTCCATGAACAGTGAATAACTGATAAAAAAGCTTCAGACAAGTATGAAATGTACCATCAAAAAATACATATTGTAATTCACACAATGCCTAATATTTGAAACTGTAGGAAAGCAAACAATATTCTCGATAGAATCGTTGATTTGAAGAAAATTTTCGGACTTATTCATATCGATTTTCATGCTATAAGAGTGTAATGACAATCTATAAACTCTCTCTATTGTGAATTAGAGTAACATCTTGTGACCATAGTTTTGAAGCGCCAGTTCTGCATATTTCAGCATGAAGGAGCTTGGATGGAGGTGCTGAAAAGTTGCAAGAGCTTTCCTCTTCAAGCTGTTACCCAATTTTTGCCGCTATAAAAGGTGGTCGTCTGATGAAGCCTGTATGTTTGAGCACTAATTCCGCAATACGTTCGTCTTCGGCTATCAACGGAATTGAAACCCATCAACAACAATTAGGGTTTTATGCTTTTCACTAAGTAGGGATATTTTCCATGATATATTCTTCAGCTTGTTTGAGTAGGGTGTGACGTAACCGTGACGAGAAGTCAAATGGTTTCAAAATTTGGATTACGTGACAGAATCAGAACTTACCCCCACTCCAATACTGATTGCTTTACTTTTCTCTTTTTGCATTTTCTGATAAGTAGTGGGGGGCATGCCGGATGAAATTTCACACAACTCGAGGGTCCCATTGAGGGACACGGGACGGAACTCGGTGTACTTACTGACCACCGGACGGAACTCGTGTGGGCCCATTTTAATCTCAAGATTATGTGCTCCAGAGCATATCATCTTGAGATCAAATCGTGACAATGGTGACATACCTGAAGCGGATAACCTTCCGAAACATTTTCTGATTTCTCTCAAACTTGTAATTCTTTTCATATCATCATCTGTAATGTGATCTTGAATCCACTTGATAACCAATGTTTCTGACGGAAGTCGATCATCATCTAACTGAAATTATTGCGAACGATATAGATGTAGAAAATAACCGAGTGGTATCAACTTACCAATTCCATGTATCCAAATATGCATTGACTGGTGCACTTGAAATTGAAAGAGTTAATTTATAAAGAAAAATTATGTTGAACGTGATCTAGAATATCGATAATTGATTTCAAGGTAAATGAGATACAAAATATTCCCAATAAATCAACTATATAATTCCGGAACTTACGAAAGTATGCAATCTTATAGCGATAATTTTGATTATATTTTTATTCAAAAGTTATTTTACAAAAAAATAACGTTCAAATTATGTAATGAGAGTCAACTATAGAGGTATTTGTAAAGTCGGCGTTGTGAATAAGTCAACATAGGTAATGTTGACTTAGCTCATAAAGGAATGTGGAAAAGATAGATGAAATCAGAATACAAAAACAAAGCATTCGTGATACAACACTAGAGATAACTATTTTTACCCGTCAAGGTCTTATCAGTAGTGCTAGGCTGAATCACGAATGTAATGTCGGACTCAATTATCGTTAAAGGACAAGCCTGATATATAAAAATGATGACATCCTTCCTTACGAAGACGCCATCTATAGGATCGGCAGAAGACTTAATACACGAATACCAAAGGCAGACTAGAGATAACTAAGATTTAGAGATGACTTAGACTTTGTCATCTACTGATAATGCTTACTATTTTCGTTCTAGTGTGGAAAAAGTGTTTTCAATAGAATCTTCAAAGCAGGATGAATAAGTTAGTCTGCGAGATTGTTCTACATTATTTGGATAAATAGCAAGTAATGGATGAAGTTTACCTCCCTACAGTGATGAAGACATTTTTCAGATTTTAAATTCAATTCAAAACAAAAAAGTAATTTGGTGATCTTCATACTGGCAAATCAAGTAGGCAAGCACGGCCCTGTGCACTCACAACAGAATCACCATGCCTATTCGACATCGTTATAAAATGTTTGCCAAATTCGCCGAATGATAAGTTTAGTGTTTGCATCGTTAATGGTAACAAGAGATTAGAAAAGGCGAAATCAACTAGTGGGGTAATGTAATAGTGGAAGCTATACTTTCATTCATCAGACTTGAATATTTTTTATCTAATCATCTATATGTTGTATGGATATTACCTGATTATCATATTCTCTGTTGTAATTACTCCCTCGTCTTGTTCTTTGCCCGTACGAGTAACCTGTTGTTTCTCGGTCCGAACTAGAACTGTAGTAGTTGTCATTATTGTAACTATCTGAAATGCAAATTAAATAATCAATAGAATATTAATTGCCCAATACTCAAGGTACTGCAGTTTCAAATAAAATATATCAACGAATTGCCATTCTTAGACGTATTGGTGAAGAGGACCAACATCAAGTAGGAAATATATCTAAACCACAAATCCAGCAATCACCATCACTCTACCAAAAGGGGAATGAATCATCAAGACTCTAGTGGATCGTGCTTTCGGGCTCTGAATTACGAAGAAAGGTCTCGAGAAGGAACTAGGCATCATCAAAAAATATCTTCATCGGATTGGTTACTCCAAAGTGATGGTAGAACAGATTTGGCTAGAAAACAGCAAGAGCCACACATGGAAGAGAAGCCGTCACAACCAGTACTAGTACTTCCCTACGTCAGAGGATTATCGGAAAGGATGAGAAGAATTGGGTCCAAATACATCAGAACCTGCGGACTACAATTCCAAGAATTGCATATACCGGATACCCTGTGAGTGCAGAAAATCCTATGTCGGTGAAACTAAGAGACCATTGAAAGTCTGCATTGCCAAGAATAAGATTAACGCACAGCAAGGAGAAACCAGCAAATCGGGAATAGCAGAGCATGTTTGGACTCATCAACATAACATCAAGTGTTCCCAAGCTGAGATCATCCACAGGAAGGAACACTGGTTTAAGAGGAAGTTCCAAGAAGCTGATTATATGTTGTTCAACAACGCATTCAGCGTAGAGATATGCAACATATAGAAACCTTTAATCAAGCGGAAAAACGGTCAACTCCAACTAAAGCGGTGAAGCTCCGCTTCACCGGTTTTTCCGGAGCTTTTCTTTACACCTGATTAAAATATATCAATCATCAATTAACCGCTCCAAATCAGTTGGCACACAATCGACCAAAATCAACAACAAATTGATAATTATGAGCAGTGTTTGAAACTGTTAGTGTTGTTATTGTATTGTTTTGTCGTTATTGTGTTTGTTGATTCTTGTATTTGTTCTGTTTTCAGATATTATTTTTCCAATTAGTGCGAGTGATAAAGAAATAAGATGGCCGCTCCAATGGAACAGATTCATGTTTTTGATTCTTTAGAAAAAGATATAACAAGCCTCAAACAAGCTGAAAGTTACACTTAAATGTTTTTGAAAACACTCAGTACAGTGGAAAAAAACTCACAGATCAAATAAATTATCTTACACAAGTATCTACTGGACAACCACATGAGGGGTCAGACTATGTTTCTCAGATGTTGCTTCAAATGACCTGGCATATACTAGAGCATGCAAGCTCTAGGGTGAATGAGTTAGAAAGGTACAAAATCAAAACCAAACAAGGAAGAACTGCCCAAAGAAGTTTACAAGTACAGTCAGGAGTTGCTCAAATGGTCAATGTGGGTTGTTCTAATATTCCTCCTGGTTCATCCATTTGATTTGACTGCAGATGTAATTTTTTGGGACACGTGTGGTATAATATTCATCAACTCTCTTGAAGAGGAAAAAACATCCACAGTGACTATTACATGGTGTTATTGGAGCGTTCGAAGGACAAAATCGCGGCTAAACAGCCACATCTGAAGAAAAAAAAAGTGCTGTTTTATCAAGACAATGCACCGTGTCACAAATCAATGAAAACGATGACAAAATTACATAAACTGGAATTCGAATTGCTTCCGCATCCACCGTATTCCCCCGATCTGGCGCCAGCGACTTTTTTCTGATCTAAGGCTTCGAGAGAATGCTCGCTGGGAACAAATTCAGCGCTGTTGAAGAGGTATGACCGCTGTAATCGTTATATCGGCCTCGAAGACAACTATATTGAATTTTTTTCCTACAAACTTTTTAGTGCAACTGTTAGATTTATAACGCAAACTTGTGTCAAACAATTGAAATCATCCTTGATATACTTATCAAATTGAGTCACTAAACAAAAATGGTTTTTATCACCACCACCAACATTGTATATTCAATCTTGTGAATCGCGATAGCACTTCAAACGCTTTTGTTTCATTGTCACTTTGATATAGTACGTAATTCGGAACATTGGCAGAGTGAGCAAAATCTCAAAAATATAAAACCTTGAGGGATATTTTCTCGCAAATTCCTTTCGCAGAAAACTATTACATAATGGAGGATGTGCTACTTATTTTCATTAAAATGCCTTTAGAATTTCAATAATTCAATAGGGAATTAAATTCTGATTTTGTGGCATACAATTATTGAATACAAAATTTATTGTTATAGCTGTATACAGATCTGAAAAAAGAAATTTTGATATGTTTTTACAAAATTTAGATAATCTCTTAAATCATGTGGTTAATCCCAATAGTAAAGTGGTAATTACTGGCGATTTCAATGTAGATTTTAAAGTAAACCCAACTGCTTTAAAAGATTTACAAGACGTAATTTCATCATTTGATATGGTTTCTATTATGGTACCTACTTCATCTAGCTGTATAGATAATATATTTACCAATTTGGAAGAAAGCAATAAAAAAAGCGGAGTTTTTGTGCCTTGCTTCTCATATCATCGCGCTCAGTAAATTATAATTGAGGAAACACCAGTAAGCTCAAATGAAAAAACGATTTCTCGAAAGGTAACCCAAAAGGGATTAATGACGCTAAAAGAAGCTCTAGCAAATGTAGAGTGGGGTTTCAACAAAAAAATTATTGATGTTGAAATTGTATCTTCCCACCTTGTGAATACTTGGTCAAAAAAATATTTCCAATGAAAATATATATTACAAAAAACGGATGTGCACCAGCTAGGTATGTGGTATGATGAATTCCTAATAAGTATGAGGAAGTCTTTGTCAAATTCGAAACTTCTAGCCGATATAACTAAAGAACCAACAGATTGTATAACATATAGAACTTTGAAGAAAAAGTATATTGCCCAGCTTAAACAATCTAAGAAATTAGCTTATGACAATTATATTCATTCGGCGGGAAATAAGGCGAAAGCATATTGGCAGATAATAAATTTCGAGAGAAATAAAAACAATAATACCTATAACTTATACTGATATATCTCCTGACCATTTCAATGACTTTTTTGTTAATATTGCTGATAATATCATTCAATCTCTACTAATGGTATGCAAAGAGGGTTTACTCAATTTCAGAAATTTTCCAGCCCCCTGCAGCCCCAGGTCCCAGACGTTCAAAGTGCAATTAGCTCACATAAAAATTCCAAATGCTTAGAGGTCTATGAACTAAATAGTGATATCATTAAAGAGACCTCCCAGATACTGTTAGAAATCACACGTAAGACCTCGTTAATCCTTAGCTCACACAAGTTTCGACTTCTGAGGGTTGTCGTTCGTAGGGGTGCGACAGCTGGTTAACGGGAAAACAGATTTTGAACAGATTGTTGCCGCCTCTTTCTGAAATGATAAATGTAATATTCACAAGTGGTATTTTTCTTGATGCATTTAAGCTATCAAAAGTTATTCATTTGTTTAAAAACGGAGACATTTCTCTTGATAACAATTATCGTCCCATTTCAATAATATTCATTTTCAGCAAAATGATTGAGAAGATTATTAAACAACGTCTTTACGCACATTTTGTAAAATATAAATTATTCAATGCTGCCTACAGCAGACGCAGTTCTCAATGTGGTGAGTGAAGTAGTCGACAATCTCGAGCAAGTTAACCACACAGCTATTACGCTCTGCGACCCCTGAGGCGTTCGACTGCGTCTCTCACGACATATTATTGGAAAAACTATATTACCATGGCGTCAGGGGAGTATCTCTATTCCTCATAAAATCATATTTGTCGAATATATATATCAAGCAATCAGTAGCAATAATTGCATTTCGAATTTAAAAATCGTTAGACATGGTGTTCCCCAAGGATTAGTATTGGGACCCCTTCTATTCGTAATTTACGTGAATGATATTAGTAACTTCATGCACCCATATAAATCTGTTTTGTTTGTCGATAACACTACGTTTATTTACTCTGACAAAAATTCTATTGAACTATCGAGAATATCAAAGGCAGTTGATGAGAAGGCAAAAAGTTGGTTCGTGACAAACCAACTCAAACTCTTTCATTCTCACATTAGCTATGGTGTTATACTCTGGGGCAACTCAACTGGGGCTGTAAACATTTTTAATTTGCAGAAAAAAGCTCTAAGAATAATTACTAATTCTGGTTATAGGGATCATTGTCCACCTCTGTTTTTGGAATTAAGAATAATGCCGTTACCCACATTAATTTTGTACAACGTTCTAACAGAAATTCATAAAAAATCAACATCATTAATCAAGTAATAAGACCTTCATGACTATGATACCAGACATTGTAACAAATTTCGGACAAACCGCTATCGTTTAAGTAAATCACAAAAGAATACACTGAATTTCAACCTCTACAACTATCTTCCCGATAGTTTCAAAATTCTTAGTATGTCCAAATTAAAAAAAAAAACAATAAAAATTATCTTTCGAGTTTTTGCTTCTATTCTGTCGAAGAATACGTGAATCATTTTAAATGTTTATAATGTCAACATAATTTCATACTATTTTTTGACTTGCTACAAACATTTTATTATGTAACGTGGTGAAATAAATTATCTTATCTTAAGTAAATACGTAGTGTAGTTTATAAATTTAAACTCAAAAATACAGATACTACGAAACTCACTTGGCTGTCCATACGAGTTGTCTCTGTTGGAACCATAAATATTGGATGAAGTTTCTCCCCTTGTCGATTCAAAATTTTGGATCTCCCTGTTTGAATTGTATCCCTTGATATATCCATTACTACCGTAATTACTAGTAGGATTATATTCATATTTGTTGTAGTTATTACTTTCCCCGTTATTGCCGGCGCCACCATGCGTATTGTGAGAACCTCTATTACATTTTCGGCCATTATTATTGTTATCATAATTGGAGTACGAATTATTATTATTATTATCATCATTGCCTTTTAGATTGCCATAAGAATTCCTGTTATTATTTCTAGTGTAGTCGTGGCTATATGGATTTTTTTCATCTTTTTGATTGTCTTCAGTTCCATAAGCAAAACTTGTATAATATCCTTTTTTATTCTTGTTGTTATTGCCGTTTGTGTGTTTATAGTTGTCCTCGTTACCATCATTCGAATCTCCATAGTTTTCCGATCTGTTTGAACTGCATTGAGGCAAATACTTTGATGCTTCTTCCTTGAAGATATTTTCATCATCATTGTCATTACTCGTTTTATTGCCTGTTCCCGAAGAGTTCTTCAATGCATTTTTCAATTTCGCACTATCGGCAACACATCCTTGCAACAACAGTAACAAAAATGCTATTGCAATGAAACGAATCGGAATGTTCTTGTGTGCCATTTCTGAAACTGATGAGTTGATTATTTTGTCCCTTTATAAATATAAATCATAGTAATTATCTTGTTCATGAAGGTATTATGATAAGTGAAGTTAACAATTGAACATGTTAGTTTGATTATTAGACAGATTTGATGTGAAATAGGAAAAGTCAATCAAAACGGTAATTAACTGTCATTCATTCAATCTGAAATGAAGTATTATTCATCCAAATGAGATTTTCACTTACATGTCTTCCTGTGGTTACTTTGCTGAAGATATAACTCTCAATAGTTATATCTGTTAAAAAAATAAGCGTAAAGTGGACGACAAGGGAATAATTCACCCATTTATAATCAGGCCCGTATTTAAAAATTCAAAAATGGGGGTGGCCCAAGTCAGATGACAACCTGTATAAGAGATTCATGGCATATTCTGATAGCCCACATCAAGTGCCAATAGCAAAATGTAGATAAATTTTCAATATGTCTGCGAATAAAGAAGATATTGGCAAAAAAATTGGGATTTTTTGGTTTTTCCTGTATGTCTCCAGAACCAAAAGAGCTATAGTCGATTTTTTCACATCATTGAATAGGTCTCTGAAATACGTAACTTTGCCCAAGTTGACCGACACTGTATCTCTTATCGTTCACGAGATCCCCATGTACAGAAACGAATTTGAATAGCCCTGTATTACAACAAATGATCAATAAGGACGGATAAACTGTATTATTCATACCTCTCCATGTAAACTTTCATAAACACTGAAGCTTTTACTTGTTGAAGGTCTAAATGAATACAATAAACTTCCAGAATTGGTGAAAATGTTGACACATTGACAGTGCTTCATATGTCTTTGTGAAAAACTGATATGAGTAAAATCAGTATATTTTATATTTTTGCACATACAATTGACGATTGAGGTCGATTTTTCAAAGTAATCTCGGTAATGCTCAGCGCTCAGCGCTCAGTTCTCAGGGTGTTCGTTTGTTGAGTGACTACGGCTGGTTGACGGAAAACAGATTATAACAAAGTTTTTCATGAAATAAAAATATTGCATATACTTTGTTGTTTTATATTCTTTTGTATTAAAATTTATTTCTAAGTGGCGTTTATGTGGAAGAAACTTCCTGAGAACGGTTTTCCAAATGGATTTAAACTTCAGCGATTCAAATCCAATGTGAATCGCTACTTTCGCACAGGCATCGCTCTGAGAGCACCTTAAGGATTTTCCTGCAGTGCTTGTGTTTTATCCTTAAAAAAACTTTTTGGAAATCATATTGTTGGTTCCGTATATCTAGAAGAAAAAATGACTGGTGATTCACCTTGTAACGATGTGGTTTTAGGCAAACAAGATCAGTGAAATTAAGGGTAGAATTTATGAAGTTGAATAAATCTTAAACAAATTATGTACAAGTTAAGCTGATATAATTTCGCTACCGCGAAACTTACCTAGAACCAGGCAATCTGATTGTATTGTGCCGCGCAAAATCTCTCATTTTCCAGCAAGACGTTTCAACATAAACTCAGTTCAATAAAACGCAATACTTTAACAAATCTCAAATGAAACTGAATGTCAACGAGCCAGTTCATTGACAGAATCATAATACTCATGAAAAGACTCTTCTATGAACAGCTCAAGCCAATAAATTACCCGGATATAAAGTGTTCCTGTCACATCCTCGTTCCTCATTCACCTGGATTAATATCCGGATATTGATCCAGGATGTATAGAACTCTGAAGAAGCTAGCCACTCGCGCCAGCGAAACGTCAGAAAGAAATTCCAAAAATCCACGGCCTTCAAACCCGGAAAATAGTGATCTTATTTGCAGGACTTGTTGCATATTTTGTGTCTGCTGCTCAATAACTTGGTGCAAAATTCGTTAAATATCCTGCTCTTGAAGAAGCGAATAAGAAGAGTTTTCTGGTTACACTTCCCAGCCTCCTGCTCTTGATCTGATTTTGAAGAAAGTAAAGTTGGGGTTGTTTGATCCACCCCAATCTCCCTTGTGAACTCAGCTTACAAGTCGGGGAATTGAGAAGCTCTGTCTCTTAATCCTTTGTTACAGGGAGGAGAGGGAGTTGGGGGTGGTCGTTCATCTCCTCTGTAGTCTTCAGTCACTTCTTGGTTCGTAAAAAGGTCCACACCGTGAAGGAAGTTTGAGACAGCAATCAAGTACTTTCTTAAATTGAAAAAAGTCTTGATCCATAAGAGGGCCTATAAAAGACCCTACCTGGACCTCTTAGGGAACAATACTTTTTTTCAATTTGAAGTATTCGATTGCTATCATAAACTTTCTTCCTGGTGTGGTTGGTCCAGGCATATGACTTTGAAGGTATGCACTGTGTACACGAATAAAAACTTGATGGTGAGGATTATTCCATCTATTTGGGTACCGCTCATGATATAGGTACCTTTGCTGCTTCTCGGACATTCCCGTTGTATACCCCGTAAATGAAATTTTTGTATATTTCTGTGGTGTGTACGGCTTGTTTTCGTTAGCCTAAAAATGAGTCCAAAATCAATGAAACTGAACACCGTATGAATTATTGAAGAGAACGACCAAGCTGATTACTCGCGATCTTTTTGGTTTCATAGCAATCGTTGATAACTGAAATTCGTATGTTTTTGCTGCTCATAGAAAGAAGCAACTCACGATCTGTTTAGTTTTACGTTGTAAGTCTTTGATGCTCATATACAGAAAGGCCAGAAGCAAGCCAGACAAGAAGCAAGCCTATACAAAAGTTTAAACATACTGACAACGAGACTGAAAAAGCCTCGGTAGATAATAACATTATCCTGAGGTGGATTAAAGGGACGACAAGAGTAAAATATTCCTTCTTTCGAAATCGTATCATAATCATAGATGCTTCGTACAAATCACATATTCGTGTTTAGATATTCAGACAATGACATATTTTAAGAAATGAGTGGAAACAATACTTGGTTGGAAGATCAACTCGGTAACCAAAGTGACAATGAGAAAAAGTTTGAATTTAATTGGAGGTTGAAATGTAAAATATACGGATCTAGGATTTTCGGATGGACGTTCATCACTGCATTTGCTATTATCATTCCAATTTTAGTCTATTACTTTGTCGTGGATCTGGGTACGTACATTTCGATAGATTCGTTCACTTGTTTGGTGAACGAAAGTTTCAGAGTGTCTTGTGGCAAAGTGGATATAACCTCCGAAGATTGTGTTAGTGTAGGATGCTGTTTTGACAGCAAAGTAAACTTTTGTTACCACTATTTGCCTTCGAGGTATTCATACGACCACGATGGAACAAATTATGTCGTATCTCGCCGAAAAACTCCTTTTGGAACGAAGGCTATTGATAAGTTGAAAATTACAGTCAATGAACTGAACTCTGACCAAGTCTCAGTAACCCTCCATGGAGTAAATTCATCTGTAGTCAGTGACACTTTACCGAATAAAAACTACAGGGTTACCAAAGTGGAAGAAAAACTCATGGTTGAAATTTATAGAAATACCACTGGAGAGCTCCTTCTTTCCACTACGAAGGGACCACTCATAGCTTCGGATGACTACTGGGAATGGACTTTATATTTGACAAACCAGTCATTGTTTGGCTTGAATCAAACTCTAATATCTTTGAAACGCAATTCCAACTTCAGTATGGTTTTGTACCACAACAAAAATAACCACCACTCTTTGCCGACATTTTGGGCGTATACTAAGGGAAAATTTCATGGAGTTTCGATCAAACATGATGGACCGTTGGAGATAACAATTCTGCCCTCGTATTTGATCGTTATGAGGAGTTTAACGGGAGGAAATATCGAGTTGAAACTATCTCTGGGGCCGACTCCTAAGCTGCTGCATGATCAGCAATTGAGTGTCAGTAAATTGCCTCCTTTTTGGATGATGGGAGTACACATATGCAGGTGAGGAATGATGTTCGTTATCCATGTTGATCAATATGTTGTAAATCAATATTATCTATATTATTCGTTTACATTACTCAGACACCTGGATATCCAAGCATATTGAATTAATATTTTTTGTTTCTATATTCTCCAACATTTTTCTAATTCTCGGAGCGATAATTAGCACCAGTGGTTTATTAAGACTTCTCTCCACTATATACTTTTCTATACTTTTCGAAATTAATATACTTTTATTAGTTTACGATTTAAATAAGAAACGATCTTCACCCGTCTGGTTAATAGATGAAACATGTTTTATGTGAAATTTAGTGTGCTAATAAATAGATTGCGAGTGGGATGGCTGCGATTAAAAATTGAAAAATGACCATAAAATAGCTCCATAATAGGATCTCCGGGTGGGGGCTGATTCGAGAGCATCATCCTACAGAATTCATTCGAAAACCATCATTTCTGACAGTCAGCAGGTTCCTTCTAATATTAGTCCACAGGGAAATAGCATGGTAACTGCAGTTACTAAGAGGCCCACTAGCGACTTCAAAATCGATTTCTGCAACATTAGAGGACTCAATTCGAATATAAACTCAGTCCACCAACATCTTCAAACAAATAGTCCTAATATTTTTCACTCATAGAAACCAAAGTCAGTGCTGCCACAAACCCCGTCAATTTTCTATATCCTGGTTATGATTTCCGCTCCCNAATTTGTATATTTTTCCTCTCATCCCGTAATTTTCCAATTTTCTGAGCAACTTTTTATGACAGACAGTATCGAATGCTTTCGACAAATCAAGAAAAATGCCTAGGGCCGGTTTTTTTTCATCGATAGCCTCATATATTCTTGATGTTAAATTGTGAATGGCTCAGATTCTCAAATATCAACGGCGAACAAGGTCGCGAGGCTGAGGCTTTTGCAATAAGCAGCGGACTTACTCAGATTATAAATGAGCCAACCAGGATTCCTGACTGTCAGAGAGAATATGCTAGTCTTCTGGATCTATAAGTACCTAATAATCAATCCAGAAATTTACACACCATTACACCGTTAGGTCTCCATTGGGATTTTCTGATCACAAACTTATTTCAGTGTTGTTGTTGTTGGGGAATAATATAAGCCGTGCAAAGTTTGGCATTACGGATCAGCTGAATGGAATTATTTTCAAGACCATTTCCGAATTTCCCCTGGCTAAATGTCTGTTTCAGCTCTGAAGATCCATCAATTTGTTTTTCTAAAGTCACGAAAGTTATTCTGTCATCCATGGATGCATATATTCCTTCTTCAATAAAACGAGCTTCTAACGGCAAACCTTGGTTCAACAAAAGATCGCGAATAAGCTGTCGCCTCCAAAAATCTCGACTACCGGCAGTGGCGCAAAAATCTCATTAACGAAAATCGAACTAGGTTTGTTAATGCTAGCAACAGCTGCAAACTTAGAATCAATGAAAGCCAAGAAATTCACATTCAGAGAATTAGGGATAAATTGCTTATAAGTTTGTTGAGGGTTAAAATGGACACCAATATGTCTTGGCAGAATCATGTAGCTGAAATTGCAAAGGCTGCTTCTCAAAAGCTTGGAACACTGTTCCGAACCAGAAAACTGTACAAACTCTAACAACTTTTGATGCTTTATAAAGCTCATATTGGACTGAGTTGTATCGCCAAATGCATATGCAGGAATAACTTCAGTGAGAAATCCTGCACTGACACCTGTCGGATATAATCCAACGCCCTTCCTTGTATTAGCCAGGGGAGTAGTCGTTTTCTGATAGGTGTTAGTCCATTAACCTGAAGTGTAGGTAATTTGAGACTGGCCTTGTAGATAATTTGATTTACAGCCAGTCTCCAAGTATGCTCACTCATTTTGTGATGTGAACTTTCTTTTGTTTGTTTTTTGGTAGTATATCTAGTAGCTGTGTAATTTCATTCATGAATTTTTATACGGTTCATTCTACGTGTTTCATTTTGTAAAAATTATAGTAAGTCATGCATAACTTTCTAATTAAATTTTCACTTTTTGTGCTGTTGATGCAACTAGTGAAACATTTTGGGATTCAGCTCAGCAAAACAACTTCCGAAATTTTGGCTAACAATGAACTTATTATGTATGTAGTGTATATAAGTGAATCATTTTTTTAAAAACTGTAATAATCTGAATAATGACTTATCTGTAGCTTTCATTGTCCACATATAATTTTCTCCACTCGCATAAAAACTATCATTCAATGATCTTTAAGATATCATCAATATTTCCTGCATATCCTAAAAGCATATCTTATGAAAATTTTCGATTGGTATTACATGGTTGTGTAGACTCCAATCATTCATTGAACAAAAATTGAACAACCATCGTAAATTTCCAATATCAAAAATAGAGGTCCATAGAATGTCCACCAAATATTTCCTCGGAAGAGGCATTTGCCATCTTTGCCTTCTGACATTTGTATTTGAAATGAAATCATAAATTATTATAGACTGTCAAATGCATGATTGCATTGTTTATAAATTCTTGTCCATTTCTTCGTGTAGTTTTATTGTGCTTCTTGGAGCCGTCTTACTTAACACTTCTTCAAAATTTACGAAAACCAATGAAGCATTATGAGCTCGTTGAGTGTTCCTCCTCATCATTTGGGTTGTCCATGAATTATTGGCCACCAGTGTGTGTAGCCCTCCAACTTTTGCCATTATGAGTATTTAGTAAGTATTATACCCTGGGGGAGATATTTTTCACTATTGCCCTTTCCGATAACTTGGGATATTTTTCAGATGCCCCTTTCAATAAAATGAAAACGAATGATATATAAATTAATAACAAGTTGTCACATGAAAGTTTGCCATTTTAAAAAAATTTCCCATCTAGGCAGTCTCTTCTCTTTGTACAGCACAAGACCAATATCCTTTGGAACTTGAATTTCAGTTGAGGTAATTTGAACAACCCTCTACACAATTTTCTTGAAATTGGCGGCAGGAACATACGTCACATACGTCTCAAATTTCAGTGATTCAACATTGCAGAAGCAACATGTCTGTCCCATTCCTGATTCGAACCACAGCACATAACCTATTTTTTCTACCTTTATTCAGAACCTTTTTTCGTTCCATGACGAATTTGAAGTCAAAACGGTTTTTTTCCAAAAATTAATCTCTTCTAATTTCTTTTTTTACAAATGTTGTTTTGAAATTCATATTTTCTACTACTTTTTGTTCATTAATTTCGCTAGTGAAATTGAACAAACTTCTTTCATACTGAATTGAATTGCGACATTTTTTTAATACCATCAACCAAAATTTTAGGAAGACGAATAAATTGGACATCACCGAAATAATAAAACAGTTCACATTAGCAGACGAAGCTGACAGTTATTGTGTTGACGACAATCTTCTGATGGCTCTTATGGCTGATAATTTAACGAATATAAACATTCTGAATGATACCCTTACGAAATCAAGTAAAAAAGGAAAGAAATTTCTGCTTTCTGTTCCGCCACAGGTATGTAACGGTTTACAGTATCGATACTTAAAACCCATTCATCTTTAGTTATAAGTTATGGACCCTAATCTGTAGGAAACCCTCTGAACAAATTAGATTCAGTAGGTTATCGCAAATTTAGAGCTCAATAGCTTTTTATGAACGCCATTGATTTTGCAATTCACAATCAATAATTTTTAAGAAATTCCAATCATATGTATCAGTGTTTTCTTCATTGCTTCATGACAAGTAGTTCCATTTCCGAATATCTTATGTGGGTGCTTATTTTTATTGATTTTCTATTACATTTTTTTCAAGTCCCCATATATATAATACCTACTGGTATATGCAGGTCTTGTTTGTAAAATTATAACTTCCATAATTTATACCATAAAATACTGAGTGTCCAAAATACAGTACCCCTTTTCTCAAACTTGAAGGTCAGTTGAAAAAACATGAATACCGACTTATAGTGTTGGAAGTGAGCTTTAAGTTTTGAATATATTAAAATGTTATCAACTCGCAAATTTGGGATACCCTGCATATAATATTTGATTAATATGTATATGATAAACCTCTCATATAAATGTAAAACATTTTTCAGGTTTCTGTAGATTCAACATTGCACGAAACTTTAACCCAACTGGATCTAGTATACACCTACAATTTATCATCCTATGTAGGAAAATATTTAAAAAAAAAAGTGGTTTATCCGGATTACAGTCACAACCGCATAGAAGAATACATGGATGCACTCGATAGTTTCCTAAATAAATATATTTCGGTCAATATAGATGGATTTATGTTGAGTGCTAACTGGCCATTGGATGACTCTTTCGAAATGTGGAATATGACTGACTTTCCATATTTTCCAAATGTAAGTTGAATCCAGCTACTATATACCTAGATTGAATTATCTTGTTTAGTGTGAATATCAAGAGTCTAGTGGTGTAAGATTACGTGATATTTCCAAATGTATCAATCGACCCCAAACATTCAAGTCCAAGATTCCAGATCCTAAAAAATAAGATATCTCAAAAAGCAAACATTTAAGTGAAGCTCCTGACAAATACTTCACAACCCTAGAATATGAAGTCAATATCTTCACCTTCTACAAAATGGCGAAACATTTAATAATTTCCTGAAGACAAACATATTAATATCGATATTACTTGAAATATTTCTCTTTATCTGCCATATGGCAATTCCAACAACCCGATAAGGTTTGTTAAGTTATTTTTCGTTTATAAAAACGACAAAAACTGTCAGTACGACAATGAACATGTGTTAAATACTCAGTAACTTAAGAGCGAATCAGTTCATCGAAGTAACCATGATGCCTGAGTGTTCCATGAATGAATTTTACATGTTTTACTTTTTTATTCTTATAAGAAGTCACTAAAAGTGATTTCGAATTGGGGTAAAAGAAACCAGGTTCAATTCAATGCCACAAAAACCCAGGCATCAGTTTTCTCCAAGAAGATAATAGTCTCTGAACCGGATATAATAATTTCAGGTCAGACAATTCCGCTTTCTGCTTTGATAAGTTTGTTGGGGGTCAAAATGTACACCAATATGTCTTGGCATACTCATGTCGCTGTAAATACAAAGGCTGCTTGGAACACAATTCCGAACCAGAAAACTGTACACACCTCAGCAACTTTTGATGCTTCATGAAGCTCGGATCAGACTTTGTTTGGAATATTGTTCTCATGTATGGAGCTCTGCCCCCAAACAAACCCTGAGGTTACTGGATTCCATCCAGAAAAAAGCCATCCGCCTGATTGGAGACGTGAACATCACGTAAAACCTTGATAGCTTGGAACATCGAAGAAAGGTTGGAGATTTATCTCTCTTCAATAGATACTTTCACGGGAAGTGTTCAACTGACTTTTGGCACATTTGATTCCACCAAGAGTGGTACATATCAGAAATAAGCGACGGACTGTGTCTGCTCATCGTTTTGAGGTTCAACTCAGTACACCTCGAATTTCATTCTTTAAGAACTCTTTCAGCTGGAGAACTGCGTTTATATGGAATAAACTACCGAAAACGTTTTTACAAATGGATTTAATCTCCAGCGATCCAAATCTAATGTGAATCGCTACTTTCGCACAGGCACCGCTCTAAGAGCGCCTAAATGATTTTTCTTGTGTTTTGTCCTAAAAAAAACAAAGTAGAGAATACTTTTACTCCACAGTCTCTCCAAGCTGACTCAGTTTCATTTCTGCAACTATTTTCATAAAGAAAATATCGCGTAGTGATAAAATTCCGGGACATACTGCAAAAAAATAATGTGACAGTATTTACAGTGACATGGAGAATCAAACGAAGTGGAAACTTTCTGGGAGTGGCATTTGAAAAATAAAGTTGGATCTGGTTTCTCATAAACTGCAATTGTTATAATGATTAATATCGTATACAATGTTTGATTTGTCTAACTTTACAAATAATGGAGATATCTCATGTACACTGAATTTTGGGAGACCGTGTAAACAGTTTATTTCTGTTTCGTAATACAAAGTTTTTTAGTATAATTTTCTAAACAGACAGGATGCTGATGGTTTTTAGCTCATGTTTTGAATCGTAAAGTAATATTTAAATCTTTGTGTGTACGAATTTTGTCAAATTTTGGTGTCATTATGAATTATTTTTTGGCAAGTATGGTTCTCTTGTACCTGGATATGATATATTCATCTCAACTGTGAAACAGTTAAATCTAGCACTGAAGGGAGGAACTTCTTTTCATATTTTATACCTCAGTCTCATCATGAAGCGGGTCGGTGGAATAGAGTGTTTTTTATTGAGGTAATATAAGATTATACTATAAGATTCCTTTTGGCTGGGATTTGATCAGATATGTGAAAGAATGTAATTATGATGTCATCGTTGACATAAGTAGATCAAACTTATTCCGTGATATAAAAATCGTAACATATGAATGCATTGTGTGTTTTTTGTTATAATATTATCCAGATTGGTACTAAAGAGCCCTAAGGCGAAACATCGATGTCTACCAGTGAGCATGACAGTGTTCCTTGTAAGTGAAATTTTTACCTTTCATTTAGTATACTATGTAAAAATCCTGAGAATGATATCTGATTCAATTCCATAACGAATATTTGGAATGCAAACTGGGTAGAAAAAAGTGTTTTTCAGTGTGTTCATATAAAAGTACATATTTGTTTCGAAAGAATTTTTCTTTCGTGTATGTCAATATTTATATGAAAGTAGCTATTTCAGGGGGGCTTTTTCTTCCATTTTGTGTCTGAAAGTTACTTCTTTGCACGATCTACATATCTATGTATAGAGTTACTTCCTTCAAAATTGATTGTTTCCTTGCTTTTTCTGGAAGATTCCCACATTTTTTTGAATCAAGATGGAGTAGTAGAAAGCCAAAAACTTTCTATTACAAATGAAGTACAGTGTTTTTTGCAGCTGCGTAAGTTATGTTCATTTGAATCTCTTTATTATGGAATTACAAAGTAGGCTTTCATGCTCTCGAATGTCTAGGTAACTTATCGACTGAAGTGAAACTGAGAGATTTTGACAAAATAACCAGCAATGAAAAAAATCAGTAGAAACAGAATCAGAATCTGCCAAGGGAAATTATAATCAGTAGAAACAGAATCAGAATCTGCCAAGGGAAATTATAATAGGAAATCGAATATGGAATCTGATAAAAAATAATAGTGAATTATTCCGATTCAACATCCTAATATACAACTTGAAACCAAATCATGAAAGAGTAATGGCCATCAACCTACCGAAATTGAAAGTAAATGAAGAATGGTAATTGATATGTGTTAACTAGATGATATCATAATTCAAAAAACACAAATTTTCAACACTCTCCTGCACTGATGAGAGGTAATACCTTGAACAGGTCTGTAGGTGTTCTAGTCGATTGATTTCAGCATGGTCCTACTGCTTGATGAACAAGAACCATCTGCAAAACTTACCTCCGTGAGGTATCTTGCATAAATGTCTGTCAGACATAATTCAATGTCTAGCGTAGTATCAGTCGGGAAAGTAGTTGTTTTCCGGCAAGCATTTACCAGAACCTACTGTGTAGGTAAGTTGGGAGATATTTCGACTTTAGGATGAAGAAAATGATTTTGTCTAATTTCTACTAAGTTTATTATTTGTTACGACCAGTTTCAATATGAATTTCTACATAATAAATAGCTCATCAATCGAACAAGTTGAATATTTCGAGATTTTATTTCGAAATATTTATTTTCTTAAACGTATGCATCTCTCCTCGATACAGTCTTCAGACTTGAAACTATCATTGAAAATAATTGATCTTTCTTCTTGAAATTTAAGGAATTGTAGTAAGTAAAATTGATCAGTCCTTCTTTCTTTTCTTTCTTCATTATTTCAATTCATCTACTTCCCAGGAGAGCTCAACAGCATAAAATGCATAATTAGAACACAAATTATGAAGTTTTTTGTCATCATCAAATCAAGTGATTTGAATACTTCAAGTTGCTTCTTACATTAATATTTCTATACTAGAGGTAACCATAATTGAGACTACCTCCAAAAAATTACCTAAACCTGTACCTAAGGTACCTCTTCAATTATGATCACCTGAAGCATATTACCTCACATCTACATCAATAATAATTCTTTCTCGATTTTAAGAAAACAAGTTAAATAATGGTGATCTATTCAAATCCAGTTGGTCATTCATTAGAATGTTTGAATTTTTAAAGTTTCAAACCTTTATTTTCTATGTGCAAAATTTCGAACTCTTCATTAAAGATATGATTTTCTTCTAGAAGATGATTTGAATATGTTGAATTTGTTTTCTTATTTACATAGCTCGTATGATGTTCCTGGATTCGATCCCTAAATGTTCTGCCAGTTCGACCAATATATACCTTAGGACACGTTCCACACTTTAATTTATATCCTCCTGATTTCTGTATAATTTTGATTATCTACCTTATCGATAGGAAAAACGTCTCGAATCGCTTTTGCGTAGACTTTCTTGGAAAGTATTTTATTTATTAATTCGGCTTTACACCCATTGTTAACCGCAATTTGATTGATGACATCAAGTTCTTTATTGAAATTATCTATTGAAAGGGGAACACTGACTAATTTGTGAATCATGCTATTATAAGCTGTTACGTATAAGACGGTTTATGATAAATTGAAAAATCATGTTTGCTCATCTACTAATTGTTAAATCCAAGAAATTGATTGAATTATCGGCTTCTACTTCAATAGTGAATTTGTTTCCATGAATTTTGTTAATCCCTATGAAAAGTATCTAATTGTCTCTAAGTTCCTGTAAAACATACAAAAACTTCATCCACATATCTATGCCAATACAAGAAATTCCTAATCTACTGGTACCAGAAATGGAGCTAAATACTTTCACCAAATAAAAAATGTGGGTTCGCTCTATCCAACCAGAACTACGAAGTAGGTATTGATCGCAGAAAGGTATACGAACTATCTTCATTAGTTTTTTTCATCATTTGTCCTTATGGTGATAAGAATGAAAAATTGGTAAATTCCAAAATTATTGTTACTACCACTTTCTCGAATGCTTTTGTGGGTCTGACGAAAAATTGAAATAATGTTCAAACATTACACTTTACTTCTTCAATTTCAGATATTTCAAGAGGCCATGTCCTATACTATACCATGGAATGCAACCAGTGGAGATGTCTTGCATATAGAAAAACACAATTCCTATGGACCTTCCCAACTGAAAGCCTTTGAAAACTATTACAATAATACTAACATTCAGTTATTATCAGCTACGAGAACTTATGGGCAAACCGAACCTAATTTCATTCAAAATATTGAAACAACTTGGGACAATTTGAACAAATATCTCGACAATATTTTGTTCGATAGTATATCTGGAAACCATTTTGTGAGTCTACCAGTTTGTGGTGATACTAGTATGTTCAATTCTACCATCCAAGAAACACTATGTATTCGTTGGTACCTTGTAGCTGCCACGATGCCCATGTTCAGAATAACTTCCTTGCAGCCTTGGAGGGAACCGGCTAGTTTGGCAGACAAATATGCAGAGAAGGCCACTAAGGAGGCCCTCCGCATTCGAAAAATGTTCTTGCCTTATTATTACACCATCCTCAGTCGTAATGAACCACTTATTAGACCCATGTTCTACGACTACTACGAAAACACAACTACATTCAGTATGAAGAATCAGTATATGATTGGAGAAAATATTTTAGTGTCACGTCCGATGACCTCCGATTTACAGAGACTGCGAATTTATCTCCCGAGTCGAGTAAGCGTGTGGTATGAGTTTTTTGGGGGAAGTATGTATACCACGAATCAAACTGATTCTTGGATTGCTATTAATTTGAGAGAAACGGATTTCGTGGCATTTGTGGCCCAAGGAACTGTAGTGCCCTTAGTGGTAAGTTGACAATGTACAAGAATTAGTGATAAAGGTCAAGCTTTTCTCACTGTGATTTCATCGTTGCATTTAATTTAATGACGAATAACAAACCTTTTTTTTATAAATAATTGTTTTCACATACAATTATTTAATTTTTCCATTTCAATTTAAAGGACGAAACACAATCACTACAGGAAAATCCTTAAGGTGCTCTCAGAGCAGTGCCTGTGCGAAAGTAGCGATTCTCATTGGATTTGAATCTCTGGAGATTAAATCCATTTGGAAAAACGTTCTCAGGAAGTTTATTAGACTGATAGCAAAACGACTGGTCTATAGTTATTTGGAAGATTTTTCTTGCCCTTTTTGGGAATAGGCTGAATGCGAGCAATTTTCCAACAAGAAGAAAAACCCCTTTCCAGGTTGAGAAGTCTGCAAAATACTGGTGCCGGTTCATTGGCGCACTTTTTACGTACGATTACCGGCGCTTCATCAGGACCAGACGCCTTGTTGATATTGAACTGTTTCAAAATTCGACTGACTACACGCTGTGGAAACGTAATTTCTGGATTTGTGGATTCTAGTGTGGGAATAGTGGGTGGCGCCTTTCCCAGAAAATCGACTGTGGAGTGGGGCGAAAATTATTCAGCTAGTAGATTTGCTTTTTTCTATGGTTGTTGTTGCAGTTGAACCATCCACTTGTGTTAGTGGTGGAATTGTGGATCTTATAAAGTTCTGATTAACAGCTTCAGCTACCGACCAGAATGATCTAGACCCATTGGGATTGGCAAGCAGTTTATCCCTAATTCTCTGACTGTGAAGTTATTTGCTTTCATTCATTCTAATTTGCGAGCTTGTAGCTTGTAGCTGTTGCGAGCATTAACAAAATTACTTCGGTTTTTGGCATTGGAATTTTTGCGCCACTGCCGGTAAGCAAAATTTTCGGAGGCGACAGCTTGCTCGCTATTTTTTTGAACCAAGTTTTGCCAATAGAAAGTCGTTTCATTGAAAAAGCATCCATCTATGATAGAATAACTTCCGTGACCTCAAAAGCACAAGTTGATGGATCTATTATCATTTATTTGTAATCGAATTTCTGAAAGATCTCTATTGACATTTTAACCCTAGGTTATCCGGGCTGAGGAGTCGTGATAAAATGGAGACAGTAATTTCCAACGTTTCGCCCATAACTACGGATAAACGGACAAATGGATTTTAAACTTTGTACACTCATCAAGAATCCGTGACAATACAATAATGTCATAAGTTTATCTCATTATCCTGATCAGGATCGCCAGGAATAAATAATTCCCTCACACAATCTCTGTGTGAGAGCAAGTGAGACAACCACACTATCTGTGTATGCGTATATATTTTACATTAAAACAGATGAGCTTAAAAGGGCAAGCCAAACTATAAAGTGGAAAATAAACAATTGTTCGAAAAAACTAAAAAATAAAACAGGCTATACCAACAAAAACTAAAAAATAAAAAAAATTTAAACTAATTTAAGATTGTGTTCAACATCGGTAATGAGTAAATAAGTCTGAAATCAGAATAAATCTATTTACAAAAAAATTAATTCCCTTCTATAAAAGCGCTAGGTGCTAAATATCCTTTGTTATAAATACTTGGTTAGGAGCTGTTTGCCAGATTGGAGCCATAATAAAAATATAATTTAAAGCATCACACGCTTTTTTATAACAAAATAAATTTTTTGTAAATGGATTTATTCTGATTTCAAACTTATTAAAAGTCATTAGTTACATCAAGCCATAGGACTTATTATCGACAATCTCACAATCTCAAATTAGTTCCAAATTATTTTTCATTTTGTGTTGCTATTATAGTGTGTTTTTTTAGTTTTTCAAACTATAATTTACTTGAACAGGTTAAACGTCCAAAAAAAATTCACTGATGTATTTTGAAGTTGTTACTTTATCAGGCTCAAATGCTATGTTCATATTTAGCTGTTACAGAATTTGTATAATTACATTGGCAAACACATGTACATGGTGGATTGTATTCATCAGTGAGAATTATAGTGATGTTTTTCCCGAAACTTTACTCAGATCCCAGTTTCTTGAATGAATTAATTTTTATTAAATTGTATTTCGTCATATTCGTCCCTTTCCCTCATATAGGGTCTTTCATTAGGCGCTTCCTATCTTCAAATTAAAATAAAACAAAGTGTGTGTGAGATATCGAATTTTTTTATTCGTTTGAGAGGCCTATTGGGTGGAGCGCATCCGAAACGGTCAATTTTCCATGACTCTGCCGCATAATTCAGGCTGAATTTGACCGATGCCATAGGATATGTTGGCTGCGACTGAAAAAAACCCACAAGAAAAAGTCTAACGGTGTCAAATCGCACGATCTCGGTGGCCAGTTCACATCACCTCCACATGAGATGACCATGCCCTCAAATCGCTGGTGCAGAGAATCCAATGTGACATGACCTGTGTGGCACATAACGCCGTCCTGTTCAAGCCACATGTCGTTGGTGTCCAGATCATCCAATTCGTGCCAAAAGAAGTTGTTAATCATCGAGCTATAGTGCTTGCCGTTAACAGCGATTTTGATTGTTCACGTACCCATACACCAAGGAATGGGCCTCATCGCTGAAGATGATTTTTTGATGAAAATTAGGGTCAGTTTCCAAATGCATAAATACGTCGTTGTCTATGGTAGATTACCTTCAGTTTCTGGTTCAGTTGAATTTTGTACGGGTGCAGCCCAAATCACGACGCAAAACTCGCCAAGTTGTGGTCTACGAAAGGCAGAGTTCTTGTGAGCGACGCGAAATCGACTGCATCGGATTATCCTGCATAATCTCACAGACAGCGGCGATGTTTTCGGCAGATCTTGCGTTTCGTCGGCGTACGGATATTGGTTGATCGTTCACTGAACCAGTGGACTAAAATTTATCCAACACATTGCGAATAGGCCTCTTGGTAGGACGATTATGGCGCCCGTAAAATGGGCGGAGCGCGCGGTACATTGCCCGAACACCCATTTTGATAAAAAAATGTTATTATTTGCATGTGTTATTGAATCCTATATTCGTACATGGTGATTCGGCAAAACATACTGAATAAATGACAACTAATGTGACATATGTAGCTTCAACAAAATGATCGTTATCAATTGTCAAAGTTCGGAGGTCCCTGTTGAAAAACCCTATATATGTTTGAACGAGAAGTGGGACCTACTGTATATCTGTTGAATGTTGAATTAATGAATGCTTCAATGAATAGTTTAAATTATATAACTTCCTTTTTTTCAGGAGAATAATAACATTAACGCAATAATTGGTCTGAACTGTACGCACAGTCCGTGTCAGGCGACTGGAACGCTGTTTTTAGATACCTACATGTATTTTAATGCAAACGAGTCTTCAATCACCGTATCCAAAATAGATATGCATGACTGCGTCTATACTTTGGGATATATAAAATTGTATCATTACGATAATAAAACAAATTACCAAAATTATTACACGAAAAATGTAAAACTATGTAATGGAACTAGCATCACAATATATTATGAAGAATCTAATTAGCTATCGTGTTTCTCATTTAAATATACATTTTTGATATTGTAAATCTGTGTTGAAGTTTATACCTATACATTTTTTGTAACCATTGGTTCCCAGGCTAAGTACTTATATTTGAAATAAATATATTTTTGTTATATTGTCTAGTTGAAATTCTGGAATAGAATGAATCTGGCGAAAATTATTTTACCTGCACCTTAGAGAAAAACTGCTAACGACCATTTCGCCAGACCATCATGGTATCAATGAAAAAATGAAAAATTATTATTTCCAGATCACCTGAATAATGAAAAAAAAAATTCTTATTACACTAGCGATTTATATGCGTATCAAACTCACCTAAACACCTACCCCGAAACACGTTTCAGTGATCAATTTATGGTGAATTTCAGAAAGTTATCGTGTTAGGAATCACACGTTAAAAGGTAAGACCTCGTTAGTCCGTAGCTCGCACAAGTTTCTCAACTTCTGAGAGTTGTCGTTCGTATGGGGGCGACAACTGATTAACAAAAAAACAGATTTTTTTTTAAACAGACATAACCACATGCATTGGTTTGTTACTTATGAGAAACCAGTCATACGATGGTATCGGGAGGAGAAACCTATACCTATATATAATTTTTTGAATTAGATATAGAGGATAGTTAGTTCATTTAAAGGCAGGATGGATGAAATAACAACTAAAGAAGCAAGTGAACCAGTGAAGTATTTATATTACTTCAGGTAGGTTCAAAAAGTAAATCACTACATCAAATCATCCAAAGGAACAATTCGTTCAGGCCAGTTTCAACTTCCTACACTGTAGGTTAATGGACTGACACCTATCAGAAAACAACTATTTCCCTGGCTAATACCACGAAGGGCGTTGGATTATATCCGACAGGTGTCAGTGCAGGAATATTCACTGAAGTATTTCCTGCATATGATGTTGGCGATACAACTGCTGGAATCGAATTTCAATTAATGTAACACACTTGCAGAACGGTTTCGGGCTGTTTGGCCACTCATCAGTGTAAGGTAGTGTCTATCATCAAACGAAAGTCTATGATATTCGATAATTGAAAATTGAATTCCTTCAGAGTATCATTTCTCGAACTAGGCTGAAGCGGATAACAAGCAACAGTTTTGTCATCGCCCCATCTGCCTGTGAACGAAGTAACCAACAGCATATCTGAAATTTGACCAATTCCTCGTATAAGGAAATAAAACTTTTCTATGAATAAAATCATCTAAAGGAACAATTCGTTCAGGCCAGTCTAAACTCCCTACACTGTAGGTTAATGGACTGGCACTTATTATCAGAAAACAACTACTCCCCTGGCTAATACCACGAAGGGCGCTGGATTATATTCCACAGGTGTCAGTGCAGGATTCTTCACTGAAGTTATTCCTGTATATGTTGTTGGCGAAACAACTGCTGGAAACGATTTTCAATTATTGGAACACACTTGCAGACCGGTTTCGGGCTGTCTGGTCACTCGTCAGTGCAAGGTAATGTTTATCATCAAACTAAAGTCGATGATTTCCGATAATTGAAAATCGAATTCTTTCAGAGAATCATTCCTTGAACTAGGCTGAAGCGGACAACAAACAGCAGGTTTGTCATCGCCCCATCTTCCTGTGAACGAGGTAACCAACAGCATATCCAAATTTGACCAATTCCTCTAAATTTGGCCAATTCCTCGTATAAGGAAAGAAAATGTTTCTATAAATCAAATCATCTAAAGGAACAATTCATTCAGGTCAGCCTCAACTCCCTACACTGTAGGTTAATGGACTGACACTCATCAGAAAGCAACTATTCCCCTGGCTAATACCACGAAGGGCGTTGTATTATATCCGTCCACTCTTCAAGTACGCCCACTGACTATATGTGAAATCAATACATAGTATAAAACAGAGTCGCTTCCCGCTGTCTGTCCCCATGTATGCTTAGATCTCAAAACTACGCAACAGATTTTGATGCGGGTATTTTTAATAAGTTTTAGAGGTTTCTAATGTGATGTAAATAAACACATTTTTTGCGCTTACATTGCAAACGCTGGCTGAACCCATACGAGATATATCAAAACAATGTACGTATTGTACACATTTAAAAGGTCTACAAAAAAGTCCGCGATGGTATATGTATATCCACAATAACCATTTTTTATCCTTTACTTTATTATGAAGCTATTTTAAGTACTACAGCATCAATACTTATCCAGTTAAGTACCTCAAATATATTGTCCATTTAATATAGATCAATATGGCCCATCACAGCATGTAATTTAAATGAAAATGTTTAAAGATATTAGAAATTTAAAATGCATGGACATAGCGGTTGCGGCGGTACCGGCCGGCAGTTCTTCGACCGGTGCCTATTAATAGCGCGTCGTAGGCGGCGTTTAGCTCTATAGCACTTAATGATTAGCAGCGACCGCACGCGTATATATATGTATATTAAGTATCAGCATTACACCCGTACGGAGCCGGGGCGAGTCACTAGTGGGTTCATAGGACTATGCACTGCAACCCACGGGGATTTATTGGGGCTCACGCATATTCAAACTCAACCAAATAAAACCAGCTTCTCAACGAAGCCAATCAATGGTTTAGTACGTGATCTTGCGAGTCATGTGGCAGAAGAGTCTGACACACTGCTAAACTCCGAAGACCAGACCGTTTCTCATCGTGTATGACTAATCGTTTGAGTGTAAGTGTTTGCAGATTCGCACAGAGCGAGTTTGTTTCATCTGATGAAGAATTTGATGCAAGACAGATTCATAAAATATCCTGCTCTTAAGAAAGTCTCTCCCTGGATGCACTACCTAGCCTCCTTGGATCAGGAGATGGAGAACTGAGGAGCTCTCGCTCTCTATCCGATATTACAGAGAGGACAGATAGAGGTTCTTCAGTTGACGTGAATCTCCTCTGTAGGCTCAGGTTAATAATCTTTGGTTACCTTAGGGTCCATAAGGGTCCAACGAGTAGCTAGGGAAAGAATGTTTAGCAAGGCAGAGCCCAGCATCAGGATGACAAGGATTTCTACAACGAGAGGCCACCTGGTATCTCGAAGGTTCCGTTAGTGACACTAAAGGTCTCTGAATAATACGTCCTTTCGGTTTGAATACTCCTACTAGAATAAAACTATTGTTGGGATATCAATATTTAGGGAATAAAAGCACCACAAGTGAATCTGTTATTCCCATACCCAGCGATGCTACAAGGAAGCAGATCTAAGGTATGTTACTGAAGTATTATAAGATAGGTGAGTTGTATTTCTGTAGAATGAAATGAAATCATTGATTGAAAAGTGTGCAACTATTCTAATAAAATACATATGTATGGCTTAAAAGAGTTGAAGTAATGCAGTCATCTACTCTGCAATATGATCATTAGATGAACTGAATTGCAAGAAGTAGTACATCTAATGGATAAATATTCCCGCAAATGTTTCAATCACAGATATGATATGTTTTCGTTTTAACATCAACTAAATAATATTGCACTGAAACTTTATAACGTTTTTAAATTTTTTGGATCCCGTGGACTACAGCATGGCCAACTCTATCACCTGATCTGACAGGTATTTTTCCTTGAGATATTTCGATAGCCTTTCATTCGACATGTCTTATAACGTTTGATGGTTGCTGATAGACAGGAGGAATTTGACATCTCAATAAATATTATACTTTCCTGAACAAGAAAAGAGTTAGCAATTACTTAATTGTAGCTTCACTCAACAGAGTGAATCATTTTTAAAGATTATATCTAGTGTGTAGCAATCCTGTGAATGAATGTTAGAAGTACAAACTCAATAAGAAAAAATGGTTTTTGTATGATTTATTGTTCATATAAAAGTAGTTGTTTCGAAAGTACTTTTTCTTTCGTTTTAATCAACTTTTATATGAAAGTAGTTGTTTCGAGAAGACTTTTTCTTTCAGTTTGTGTCTGAAAGTAACTTCTATGCATGATCTACACACCTTTGTAAAGAGTTTATTTTGAATATAATTGCTTTATTTTTTCCTTTGGAAGTTGCCCAAATTTTTTATATAAACATGGAAAAGTAGAAAGCTAAAAGTTTTTTTCCTAAAAATTAATCTCTCCTAAAAATATATCCTTTTAAATTCAAACCATATCTATGTATCATAACTTTATTTTTCGACTTCAATGCACCATTATCTGGTTATTAAACTCTTTAAATTCAAGAATTTGCGGAAAGCAATTATTGCCTAGATTCTATATCTTTGTGGGAATCTAGTTTTTCGCCTATAAAAGATTCAGAAGTAATAATAAAGACATGTCGATTTACATTCTGGCACTTAGTTTGCACACCATATTTAAATAGAGTTGAATCTAATTCTCAAACAGTTATTTATAATTGTTTATTTTCGTCATTCGAATGTATTTTCCAATCGATGAGGTGTATTTAAAATATATCTCTGTTATCGAGCTGGTTGATATATCTTTATTAAAAATGTCATTGGAAAAAGAACCAAACAGCGTTGAATCCATATTGAAACGTTTGAATGAAAAAGATTTCAAACAAGTTTGGAGAATTTTGTATGGAGATGGCACAGAGTGAGTAAAAATTCAATATACTAAAATGAATCAAGTTATTGACATTATGAACTTCAGAGAATTGAAGATGTCTGAAAAATGTTTGAAACTGGCTACGCGTTACAAGGTTGAACTGGTATCCTGCAAATTCAGAAAAATCCAAGATGAACAAATTAGAAATACAAGAATGGTGAAAGTTGGACTTTTTCAGCAGAAGTTACCTGTTCCATTGACCAATCCTATACGTCGAGTCAAAATGGCAATGTATACTTTAGCTATGGATGCCATAAAAGTGGCGGCTAAAGGAGGAGTGAATATATTTTGCCTACAACAAGCCTGGAGTAAGTACAGACTTATCTGCAATTTCAGAAATTCCAAATGCCAATAAGTAATAACTTGTTTTAGCGTGTTCTGTTTTAAAAAATTCAGAAAATGTGTTAGCAGATGTTACTTCTTCAACTCCAAATAACTGTTTACTACTTTTGGATTCAATCACACTTTTATTCAGAATACATCAATCCAAAACCAGCACTTTTCCCAATCCCAATCATTGTATTTCATTTCTGGTAATTGGAGAAATTGCTTATTTTGGTTTTATCCTATTTAACTAATAATTCATTTTTTTAATGTCAAATACCAAAACATTAATACAGGGTATGCAGGGAATTTGTTTTCTTGTCGTCATCTCCAACAAAATAAGATGGTTTTCTGAAAAGAATGCGAAGAATAAAATGACCTTCACTGTGAGTCTAATATGGCGGACTTCCAAAGACAGTGGGTTATTTTTTTCATGTATCACCATGATATGGATATCAAATGAAGCATTTGAAAGGAAAAACACTCAAAAAGACAGAAAACAAGATGGCCGCCATTATTATCATCTTAAAATAAACGTTTTATCCATTAAGTTCAGCTCTACAATATATTTTGTTGAAAAAGAGGTTACTGCCCTAAACCGTTCGTAGTAAATAACGCAAGTAATTCATTGATTTAAGTCATCACAAATTCTTTCCAACCTTATTTTAAATTTTAAGAACGTCTTTTTATCTTGAAGTCTGGAAAACTACTAAAGATTCAAATGAAGCTCAAGATTCAAATGAAATCAACAATCACAGACCTACCTCAATCCTCAACAACTTTGACAAATTTCTAGAAACAATCTTGTATAGCCGTATCTATCGATCCTCTCGACATATAATATCTGATTATCAACATGGTTTCATGAATTCTAGATCCACAATTACGAATGTAGTGTTTTTGATTAATATTTGTGTGAATCTTTAGACCGTATAGAGGGCAAGTCGATATGGTGTACACAGACTTCTTTAAAGCATTTGATAGGATTAGCCATAAGTTACTCATTCGTATTGAATTTTCATTGATATCTGCTATCATTTCTTTAGAAGTTTAAGTGACATTCTCATATCATTGTAAAAATAAAACGACAGAAAAGGTTTTTCACGATTTTTGATGTTATCTTTCCAGACTGAATATGGGAAAATTGCTGTTAATATCTGTTATGGCAGACATAACCCCTTAAACTGGATAGGCTTTGCATTGAATGGAGCAGAAATTGTATTCAATCCTTGCGCAGCTGTGAGTACTATTAGTGGAAACTTTACAATTATGGAAGACACTGCATTGTTCTTGAATTATCCCTATTATATACTTACTCCATATTATTTTACAATACAAATCAATGATTCAATCATTGAATCATCCCCAATGATTCAAATCATTGGTGATGGTAATAATGTTCTCAATTTTCTGAAGTTATTTGGTGTTTTGATATCACTGATTTTTTTACAATGTAACAAGATACCACATCGAAAAATGAGTGATGGATGAGCTACAGCACTTTATTATTTGATTTTTTCAGATTCAATCAAATTAATTCAAAATTTTTCAAAAATTATTTTTGTGCATGATATTCATGCCTCTTGGATTTTTTTTAAAGGACAAAACACAAGCACTACAGGAAAATTCTTAAGGCGCTCTCAGAACGGTGCCTGTGCGAAAGTAGCGATTCACATTGGATTTGAATCGCTGGAGATTCAATCCATTTGTAAAAACTTTCTCAGTAAGTTTATTTCACATAAACGCAGTTTTCCAGATGAAAGAGTTCTTAAACAGTGAAGTTCGAGGTGTACTGAGTTGAACCTCAAAACGATGAGCAGCCACAGTCGGTCGCGTATTTCTGATATGTACCGCTCTTGGTGGAATCAAATGTGCCAAGTCACTTGAATACTTCCCGTGAAAGTATCTATAGAAGAGAGACAAATCTCCAACCTTTCTTCGATGTTCCAGGCTATCAAGGTTGCACGTGATGTTCGCTGTTTCAAAATCAGGCGGATGGCTCTTTTCTGGATGGAAACCAGCAACTTCAGCGTATGTTTGGGGGCAGAGCTCCATAAATGAGAACAATACTCCTAAGAAGGTCTGATCTGAGCTGTATAAAGCATCAAAAGTTGCTGAGGTTATCGAAGCAGAAAGCGGAAGTGTCTGATCTGACGGTTCGAAGACATTTATCTTCTTGGAGAAAACCGATGTCTGGGTTTTTGTGGCATTGAATTAAACCTGGTTACTTTCACCCCAATTCGAAATCACTTTTAGATTCTCATTAAGATACGCAACCTCCTGCCGCCGGTGAAGATGTGCCTCCGTAGCCGATGTCCTGGAATCCAAATGGAATGACGAAACAAGTGTACTGTTGTCAGCAAAGCAATATATTGGATTCTTGTTTTTTTTTCAATAAGTCGTTGATATACAATAGGAAGAGGGTTGGAGACAATATGGATCCCTGGGGAACACCAGCGTTGATGATGAAAATATTCGAGAGATATCCATCGACGGCCACTTGCAGGGAACATTCTTTCAGGAAGCTGAAGTCATAAACAAAAATGATCCGAAAAGCCATAGCATCGAAGTTTGCCCAGCAAACCCTCATGCCACACACGGTCAAAGGCTTTAGAAATATCAAGCGCAACAGCTCATGTTTCTCGATTGCGTTATTCCAAATATGGTTGACATCCGATAGATAGAAGGCCGCCTATTGATCTTCGTTTCCGAAAGCCAAATTGATGATCACTCAAGATGTTGAAGCCTTCCAAATATTTATGGATATGGTGGTTTACGAATTTCTCCATGATTTTTGATATCACTGATAGCAAAGCTACTGGTCTATAGTTATTTGGAAGGTTTTTCTTGCCTTTTTTGGGAATAGGCTGAACGCGAGCAATCTTCCAACAAGAAGAAAAAAAACTCTTTCTTGTAAGACAGGTTGAAAAGTCTGCAAAATACTGGTGCGGACACTTCATCAGGGCCAGACGCCTTGTTGATATTGATCTGTTTCAAAATTCGCCTGACCAGACGCTGTCTAAAAGTAATTTCCGGCATTGTGGATTCTAGTGTGGGAATAGTGTATGGTGCTTTTCCCAAAAAATCGACTGTGGAATGAGACGCAAATTGTTCAGCTAGTAGATTTGTTTTTTCTATGGCTGCTGTTGCAATTGAACCATCCGCTTGTATTAGTGGTGGAATTGTGGATTTTGTAAAGTTCTGATTAACATCTTTAGCTACCGACCAAAAGAATCTAGACCCGTTGGGATTGGCAAGCAGTTTATCCCTAATTCTGTGATTGTGAAGTTATTTGGTTTCATTTATCCTAAGTTTGCAGCTGTTGCGAGCATTGACAAACCTATTTCGGTTTTCAGCACTGGGATTTTTGCGCCACTGCCGGTAGGCGAAATTTTTGGAGGCGATAGCTTGCTCGCAATTTTTGTTGAACCAAGGTTTGCCGTTAGAAGATCGTTTCACAAAAAAAGGAATATGTGCATCCATGGATGATAGAATAACTTTCGTGACTTCAGAAGTACAAGTTGATGGATCTTTAGAGCTGAAACAAACATCTAGCAAGGAGAAATTTCAGAAATGATCTTGAATATCCTCCCATTCAGGTGTTCTGTAATGCCAAACTGGGTGCGGCTTAGATTGTTCCCCAACATTCATTGGTAATGAATCTCAACACTGAAAGAGTTTGTGGTCAGAAGATCCCAATGGAGACCTTATGGTGATTGTGTAAATTTCTGGATTGATTGTTAGGTATATATCCAGAAGACTAGCATATTCTCCATCACGGTCAGGAATCCTGGTTGACTCATTTATGATCTGGGGAGTGAATCCGCTGCTTATTGCAAAAGCCTCAGCTTCGTAACCTTGTTCGTCGTTGATATTTGAAAATTTGAGCCATTCGATATTATGGACATTTAAGTCACCGAATATATAAATTTTGGCACTGGGATGGTTGATTTACAGAAAGTCAGTGGTGTTTGCAAGTGAAGAGAATAGTGCCCTATATTGTGTATCGCTAGGTGGTCGATTATCTTTTCCTATTACTTGCATTCAGTGAAACTTAAGTCCAGTGAAGTAATATGTTGTCATATTTTAAATTGCTACTCATTTGTATTCATTATCAAAAAATGAAAAAATATTTGAAACTCTACAATTATGTTCGAAGAACAGAGCGGTAAGAAATATCTTGGTCAGAAAAGCCACATGAACAATGAATGAACAATGCATGCATAAAAACCATAAAAAATGTCATAGTTGTAGTGTTTGTTTTCTAATATAAATATCTCGTGAAGCATATAGTATCTCTGAATAATGGTTACACTAGTTTCACTCGAATCCACCGTTTTGACTGTTAAGTTTGATTTTTCCGTAAATAATCACCTGAGAACTATGTGAAAATTTCAAAATTTTAACGTCCCTAGTCATAGTGTACAATTATCCTTCCTTCAATTCAAATCGTCACTATTTATTTCTACCTGATGTTTCAGATAGGTGACTACAACGAACCACTGTGGGGTATCGAAGCAAGAAATGCTGCCATTGCTAACGGATACTTCGTATGTGCCATAAACAGAGTTGGGACAGAAATATACGAACACGAATATGAAGATGAAGAAGGAAACAAAGAGTTTCACAAAGACTCGGGACATTTTTTTGGATCTACATACGTGGCTGCACCTAATGGAACAAGATCTCCGGTAATATACATTTTATGTTCTCGTAGAAAAAGTTATAACTGTATTTCAAATTGTTGAGTACGACATATTTCAGAAGGAATCCTGTTAATATTGAAAGGATTATATTTGAAGCAGTAATTAATTTTTGGGAAAGTTTTTGGCTTTTGATTACTCCATCTTGATACAGAAGAAAAAGTGGAAATCTTCCAAATATTCCTTCTGGCTGGGATTTAATCAAATAAGTGAATGAATGTCATTATGATATCATCGATGACATAAGTAGATCAAACTTATTCCTTGACATAAAAAATCGTAATTTATGAATGAATTGTGTGGTTTTTTCTTATAATATTATCTAGATTGGTACCGAAGAGCCCTAAGGCAAGTGTCTTATGGCGAAACAGTCGATGTCTACCAGTGAGGATAACATTGTTCCATGTAAGTGAAATTTAACCATGTATTTGGTATATTGTGTAGAAATCCTGTGATCCATAACGAATGTTTGGATTATAAACTGAGTAGAGAAAAGGTTTTTTTTGTATAATTCAGTGTTCATTCAAAAGTATTTGTTTCGAAAGAATTTTTCTTTCGTATAATTCAATGTCTATATCAGTGGTCGCCAACCTCTTCAATGTGTTGAGCTACTTTGTTAATTTTGGAATAAACAGCGAGCTACCCACACGGAAGCCACGTAACGCAACGTAAATGAAATAATCCACAGTTAATTTATCATTATATGTATTTATTTTACTATTTAACTGGTAATACATAATACATAGGTACTAATAATAAACTAATAACAAAATAACTNAACGGAGACCGAAGTATTACATAACAAACACACATTTTTATCTTTAACTTCTGTAAAAAAGTATTGTTCTTCCCATTCCGAATGAAAGTGGTATGTCTTTACCTTCTTACAAATGCTGGCCATATTATTTTTGTTGTTCTCTACTAACCCAACCGCTGGACGTTGGTTACGCGTTCAGTTTTAAAATAAGCGCAAATGTCGCCGCGCCGTGCGTATTCATCCCGTTCAATGCAATCCAGATCGTTCTCGAACACTAACGCGTTGGTCCGGCTGGTCGGTTCTAGCCGATTCTAGCTTGATGGCGTCAGTGGCAGATAGCTCACCACAATGTTGCCGCTGTTTATGTTTAATATTATGACAATTAGATTTTTTTGTGGAATTTTCGGAAGCTTCTCTGATTTTTGCAGTTTGTATTTTTTAAATTAAAATCGTTGTGAGAGCTACCAGAATTGCCTCCGCGAGCTACCGGTAGCTCGCGATCGACAGGTTGGCGACCACTGGTCTATATGAAAGTAGCTGTTTCAGGAGAGCTTTTAATTCCAGTTTGTGTCTAAAAGTTATCTACTTCTTTGCATGATCTACACTTCTATGTATGATTGCTTCCTTCTTTTCTTTGGAAGATTCCCAGTTTTTTATGTATCAAGATGGAGTAGTAGAAAGCCAACAAGATTCTTTCCCACCACACTAAATTAACTGTTTATGTTAAATAGAAAATATGAAAACTAGAAAAAAGCATTTGCGGGTAATCCAGGTGCAATTATGTAATTCAAACTGAATTATTTTTCTAAAATAATTGTTGAGAATGTTCAATCACATGTAATTGTAACGTAATTATGTCACTGTTTCTTATTAGTAAGTAAACAATAATCCAGAAATCACACTGTCGAACCAATCACAGTTGTTGAATGGAACTGGCCGATATTTGATGAAAATCCATATTGAATACAGTTCACTGTAAGATTTTCATCATGAAAGGTTTACAAAACCAAGCCACGCGTTTCAATATACAGTACTTGATCCAGATTTAAAAACAACCACACAAATGCGAGTGTTCGGAGTTATCGTCAATAAGAGGGTGTGTGTTCGGCGAGTCTTGGCCAACACCTGCCGATATAAAGGAGATGTCTCCTAGTGACCTGCCCACCTTCCTGAAAAGGACAGGATGGAAGATGACCTAGGAGGACAACTCCTCGGAAGGATGGACAATGGGTCACATGTGCCCTAAGTGCTGTGGGCCTACACTCACCCTCCCTACTCTACAGAACCACAAAAATTGAAATGACCACTTAATAACTTATATATAACAAAGTATGCTCGAATTTAAACATATAATTTCAAGGTTGATCTTTTAGAACATCATGTAATCCTTTGTAAAAGGAAAGATAAATTGCAACCAATACCTCATTTACAATCATTTATTACTATAATAGTATATACTATAAAAAGAAGTATTTTTGAATGCTTTCTCAAGTTTTTTATAGACATGAAATTTAATATTACTCTTATTCGGGATGTCCTTAACAGATGAATTTTATTTTTAAATATTCCAAATTTAAGTCTTGGAAAAAGTGTAGTATTTCTCGAGAAGTGGTCAGTACTCGTTCGAATAATTTACGTCGCTCGCCTTGGTCTCACGTCAACAAATTTCGCTCGTTGAATAATATACTATTCCACATTCATTTAATTATATGAAACTTTGTTATCAATTCTTCTCTATGACTTCCATGCTGTTTTAGCTCTAGTCCTCAGTTTCTATACTAGAAACTGAATAATGAAGCCGTACATACGTTATATTTTAATCGTCAAGTAGTTCCTTTAGAACTTCTATGTATATGTTCAAGTGGCTTAGACATGGACATGGATCTATTTTTTTAATATAACATTTTTTTTATTTGAAAGAACTTTTTCTTTTGAAAAAAGAAACATATTGTAACGGTCCGTGTTTGTATTTGATTAAAGGTGGTCTGTCGTAAGCTCTTGCGTATTTCGTGCGTTAAAAAAACGAAATTTCTATAAATGTAAATTGGTTTAAATATGCGGACGTCACTTATAACATATCCCGGAAAAAGGTACACTTGAAGAAAAAAACGTGTGCGTTTCGGGACACCTGACAGAAGTGATCACAAACTAATTTAAGTTGAACTATCCAATGTTGAAAATGTTTAACTTGAGAAAAGCTCAGGTTGTTACTTAAATTTTATGTGTATATTGAATATGATAATGTGAGGAAAGGTTATTTATTAATAACATCTTTTATTGATTATTTTGTGTAGGTATGTACACATATTATAGCTACCATAAGCCAATTGTTACTTTTGTAGGATTAAATAATGATACTAATTATGTACATACACAAAATTAGTAGTATCATTTGTAAGCCACATATCACATAATAAAAGAATATTACGTGCTTTCATAATACTGTCAACAGTATATGTCTAACGCACACTCAATACTGAGCGTCTGTCTGACGAGAGAGGAGTCTGCCTCCTCTCTCGTTACGCGTTAGGTAACGAAGCGGTTTACCCTCCCATAAGAATTTATCACTTCAATAATATAGATTATCGGGAAATATACTAATAAAAAGTATGGGATAACAGTTGGTCAAAAAACTAGCTAATAGTAATATGCTCTTCTATGTGTAAGCCTTCGTTAACTTTTGAACAATTTTGAAACTCAAATTGATGGTAGCAACTTGTAACTCGAAGAAATGCAAATTGAATCTAAAAAAAATATTCCTTGTACCGCTTCGAAAGATTCGGCCGTAACGCATAACATCAGGTGTGACGTTATTGTAAGCCATATCGAACTAAAACGATCAGTTATTGCAAAATGCTTCTCATTCATATGAAAAAAATGATGTCTTGAAAAAGCCAGTGTTAAATTTAATAAATGGGCATATTTGCTTTACCATTTTCTGACGTTAGTTTTTCACAGTCTGGAGGGACCAAGGGTAGTCACTCTTCAAAATAGTTTTGTGAAAAAAATTCAACTTCTATTGTCTCATTATTGTATTTTGATACCTTTTTGTTTTAACATCAACCTCTACTTCAGCAACAATATGAATACTTAGATATTTATATTATTTAATAATTTCAGGGACTGTCTCGTACCAAGGATGGTTTGTTGATAGCCGAGTTCGATTTGAATATGTGCCGACAAATTAAAGATGAGAGAGGATTTGATGTAAAACAGTTGATCTATTATCAACGAATTGTTAGTTATACACTTTTTTCCAGGTAACACAAAGACTTCAATTATACCAGGAACTTCTCTCCAATATAACGAAGACAGATTTCAAGCCACAAATAATAAAGAAACGTTGATTTTTTTTGTTTTTAATTATTCCACCTTTCATAATCAAAAACAGTAGTGTACAACTCAATCAGAAAAGACAAAATTGCATAGAATCAAAATGTTTGGTAGATACGTAGGTCATAATTGATCCCTGATATTCTCTCCATTTTTTATTTGCACCTTCTTCTTATAATTTGAGGGCAGAAGTCGGCTTTGGTAGCTTTCAGTAACAACTCAGTGTAAATATCTAACCTTTGTGACATCTGGAAATGAAGAAAAATGAAAGAATAACAATATAATTGAATTAGTTTTTGATTTAAGTCGTGTTTACCAACTGAAAAATTCTTGTGGATTGACGTGTTACGAACGAAGTTGAAGTCACGAGTTTTTATATGTAATTCTACTACTTACACTAGCACTGTATACCGTAGATTATCTCATTTTTACCTGAAATCCCCATTGATCTCGAACTTGTCTACATAGATTCAAATCCATTTCAGCTATTAAGAGCCCATTTTTAGTTCTCGATAATCCCTAACAAACAAAATATAGAGACAAATTAGTTTATTATTTATCTAAACAAAGCAATTGCATTCAGTATTCTCAATATGAGTAAAATAAAAATGATTGTTTGTTACGAAGTATACTTATGTTCGCTTTGTTTAAATTTTTTCTAAAGACAACTTCCATAATTATGTTACATAAATATTGGCCGACCTTGAAGATATTCAAAATTTCAGGGAGTAAACCTTGATATCATAAAAGAGATGAGCGGAAAAAAATTGTGTTTCGTATTTTTGTATTTACGTTTTATATGTGATTGCAATCGATCCCACTGCCATGCTGACAATAAGGATTACGTAGAAACTAAAATATTTATATAAAAACAAAACATGCTTTCCCCGTAAGTGAGATACTTACTGATGACCTGGAACCGTTGGGAGCAGTTACATAACTTGAACCGTAGAAATAATCGCTTTCCCTATGAGGCGATTTTCCATCCCCAGAAGTGAAGTCATTTTCGAAAATTTCTGTACCCACCCTATTCACAGCACAAGTGTAATAACCATTGGCTATAGCAGCGTTTCTAGCTTCAATCGACCACAATGGTTCACTGGCGGCACCACCCTAAAAATTTAGTTATGCCTTTTTGAATCATTGAATAATTCCAAACGGTCCTCTTACCGCTGCAGATGGGTTGAATACTATTTCTGCCCCATTCAGACCGAACATCATCCAATTTATTGGATGGTGACGACCGTAGCACACGGCTATTTTACCAAATTCGGTCTGCAACATGAAGTTTCATAAATTAGTGTTAGAAAGCATTTTATAATTAATAAGTGTTATGAAAGCATTTTTATAAAAGCATAAGTATCATACCGGCAAGAAATCATCTTTCGAAGTTTGTAACTTCTGCTATACAAATAATTGTAGGTACAATCAATATCTTTAAACTCACATTTTCCAACAAATAAGTATTTAGTTGAAGTGGACTGAAAAACATTGTTTTATGAGTTCGATCCCAACCTCGACCAGATATTTTTCTCGAGATAATTTATTTTGTTGAAATTGGGATGATTCTGCAACGTTACATGGCTGACGGACTGCGAATAGCCATGATGCTCCCTAGGTGACTCGGGGAGTTATTAACATTGCCTACCCAGGACACGAAGCTAACGACCAATGCAGTCGATGCCGATGACACCAAAAAAATAAATAAATAAAATATAAATTAGAAAACAATTGTTATGAATATTTATAATCCTTTAAGAATGCAATATCAGCCCGAAGTAAAAAGTAAGGAGGAAGTAGTGCAAAAATGCGCGAGTATGACCGGTGTCAATAGATCGACAATTTTTAGAATTCTTAAGGAACTCAAGAAAAACAACATCCTTTTGGAGTCGAAAGTATCCACTGACAGAAAGTGTTTGGTTATCGACGTAGAAGTCAAAAATTACTTTACAAGAAGTACTTTCTTTTTACATTAAAAAAAGTTTAGACCTACATTAAATTAAGTTTTGTCAGTTATTCCTGAAGACATTTTTTCCTGATATAAGAAGAACTAGATTATGGAAGATATTACAAGAGGTAAACTTCACTTTTGGAAAACAAGATAGAAAGAGCATGTTTATAGAAAAATTTGAGAAAAACTAAATACCCTTGTTTTTAATCTTATTTTGTTAATAACAATTGCAATTTTTTACGTGCACCAAAATCCTTCAAAAACATTTTTCTAGGGGTGATTCCGAATCGAATGAGCTATCGCTCATATTTTTAGGACCTTTATCTCTATTTTTCATGTTTTTGAACTTGTTGATTACACTAATTGGTAAAGAGGTATCTTTCGTTGCAACTAAGTATTGTCCGTTTTCAAAAGTTGACATTATACATATGGTGGCTGTGATGAGTTGATTAAAACCTTAAATTAAACTAAATAACACAACATTTATATAGTGTACGCGTAAAAATAAATTCATTTGCTGCTAAACGTATCATTTTCTTGGAAAATCTTCGAAGAAGTTGATTTTTGAATTCAATTTGCCGTTTTATCGAAAAACTTTCAACATACAGGGCAATTCATGTCAGAGTAATGACATGAGTGACATATTTCAAACGACACACCCTGTATCTATTTCGGTTTTTTAAATCCCCCATATAGCCTGGATCACAAGATCCTTTTTTGGAACTTCTGTCCAAGGGTACCGAAAAGTATTATCCAGGGCTCATTCGATTCGGAATGACCTCTAGCAACTTTTCGAAAAATAAAAATTTCAAGAAGGGCTAGAAAAAATTACAAAAGTTATTGGCGATTCAGTAAAAAAAAGAGGGAATTAGGTTTTTTGCAAATATATCGGAAAATATTGAAGATACCGAAATTTGAAAAAATATCCTTAAAGAGGGGAAAATTTCCTTCCTTCCCGTGATTATTTTATTAGATTAAGTTAATCATCTCATTTTAA